TTAGAGATTAGTTCTGACCAAAAGAATCAGATTAACTGCTAGCCAAATGAAGACCTATATCTAAGTGGATTGCTACTAAAGGTCGACCAATATTGGTTTTTCTATCGCTGATACGGATGCCAATATGTAGAGGTCACAGTCAGCCGATGGCTGATATAAGCTAGCTATTTTTTGGGCCAATTTTCATGGCTGATATCTAGATGTTTTTCACCTTATTTGCATGCTGAAATGTCACAAATATCTCCAGTTGATGCACCAAATTTCTGAAGTTGAATCAGTTTTTCAACATAGAATTCAACCAACTGTTAGATCTTAATTTTGTGCACTGTTAAATGTTAAAATCAGACATCTAACTAAAGTTGATCAAACAAATCAATTAACTGACCAATTAAATATTCAAATCTGGTAAATATAAAGACATTCTAGTTGAAAAAAAATTTAAGGGGCATTTATTGTGTAGATGTTATTCAGGAATGTAGATATATATCTGAATTAAATCCTGCAACAGCACCAGGCTGCCTGGGGATGCGCCTGACTTTAAATCTGCCCTACTAAAGCCGGGCGTACGCTGTGCAACTTTTTCACTCGCAGCACTCAGCTTCAGCTCAAACTGTACGACTTCCTCGCAGAGCAGATCTCACGAGCCAGGCGCTCACTGTACGACCCAGTTCTCAGATGCGACCTGACTGCTCACACTGTACGTCTGGTAGCAACACGTCGGCCCTAAAAATATGCTAAAAAAAGCAGTTTTTACACAACACGTAATTTGCCTGTTGTCCTTCGGGAGTGCTGCAGGAGGACACAGCGATTTATGGGGGTTGGATGAGGAAAACGAAATAAAGAAAGTAAATCTGTGTTTTGTGATCAGTTTAATTTGACATGAACACGACAAACACGCTTTCTTGACAATCTTTGTGAGTAAAAAAACGTGTAGAAATTAAAATGAACAATGTGTGCTATTAGGGAAATAGCGGGGAGCGGCGTTGATGCAGGATTGCGCATGCGCCGTGAGCGGTTCTGATACATTTTGGGTCGCAGCTGCTCGCAATGCCGCTTCAACAGTGCGATACCCTCACGAGGGACGAGCGAAATATTAAACACGCCAGAAGTCCGTGCGACCTCACGACTGCTGATCGGCAGCTGGTCACATGGTGTTAATCGCCTCTCGTAACCCCCTGTACACTACACGACCGCTCGGCGCAAAACTCGCCCCGATGTCGTGGATTCTCCCACGACTGGAAAATCGGCTCAAAAAAGTCAAAAAGTTGCACAGTGTACGCCCGGCTTAAGGAGATATATCAGCCAATACAGATGCATGAAAAATTACAAACATCGGCCTGATATATTGACAGACCGATACATCAATCTACTCCTAGTTGCTACCTCTTTAAAGCAATTCAAGTTGCAAAGTTCCCTCAGCATTTCATGCAGATGTTTTTTTTTATAAATCTTCACCGCTGATTGGGAGTTTCTGCCAGAAATCCTATTCCTGTTGAATTTTCAGATGATGTACCACAAATGTTACTGCTAGCTAGCTTTTGTGGCTATTTGCACTTTAAAAGAACACCTGTAGGTTTCTGTAACACATGTTTACATGCACATAGGGCTGGGCGATATGGCCTAAAATCAATATCACGATATATTGTGGATTTCAAGTTGATAACGATAAATGGACGATAACTACAGGTATGCGCAGAGACTAAAGTTGTCCACTAGATGGGGCTGTCACATGTATTACGTTGAGTCACATTTTTACGTGACTCCAGGTGGCACAGCTTCTTAAAGGGACATGAATGTTGCCAACCTACACACATCTTTTCATTTTTTTATTGAATTTATTGACACGGGAAAAATTATCTCTAAGAGTGAGACATTTCGATAACGACAAATGTTTGATTTGTCACCCAGCTCTACATGCACACCAGAAAACTGAACTTATATCAAATATTAAATATTAAATATAAAATATATATTTTTTAATATTGCATGTAGATGCGTTAGTCTTGCTGAAAGCGAAATAGTTCTAATTGGGCTGAAGCACCCAGTTAATACAGTAGGAAACAGACTTCATCTGCATGTAAATGACTCAGTCGAGCTGATACCAGTAACTTCTGGAAGTGACCAGATCGCGAAAGCGATCTTCTGATATCACCACCACATAGCAACGTCATCAAACAGGATAGTACGTATCTAATCAGCTGTGCTGCAGCATTGTTGTCCATTCCTTCGGCCATTGTTTATATCCTGTTTTAACTTTGTCTGCTTCACTCATGCCAGCGTTTCTTTACTGTTTGTGTTGAAATCATGGACGTAGACGGCCCGTTAGGCGCTGGAGAGCATAACGGCGTCACCGCCATATTGGACGGGTCTCCCCACTCTCCAAAGTCGATGCAGAATGAGCAACTGTGGGCGTTTTTGTGCAGTCTATGGTTGCAACAATCTACGTTTTAATTATTATGCCACACCTTGTGTCTGATTTTGTACAAGAACTTCCCTCCTCAGCAAAAATGAATGGGGGCGAATGGAGACCCTTCTAAAATGGAGGCCTCCCATTACGGCAGCTCCAGTAGGCAGCGCCAGTCCATGGGGCATCTCCGTATATATGTGTGGTTGCATAAGCTAACCAGAAGAATGCTGATATGAAAGGGCGCATGTCATTTGACAGTTTGGTTTTCTAACGTATGTGAAAACTAGAATAAAGGCTCCCAGTTTTACTTTAGATCCAGGTAGATGCTCATATAAATGCACCGAGTGATAAGTTAGTGTGAGGCTGTCAGTGGTGTAAAGGACCCTAAAGTAACACCATAATCTGGTAAGAAATAAAAGCATTTAAAGCAATTATTAAAAGATCTCACCTGGCCCTTGCTTTTGCATTCAGTAGTATACAAGCTGATTATGATTGGTTTAAAAAGAGGTGTTTTCTTTTACGTCCCAACTACTTAACACACCCCTGGTTATGTGGATAAGTCAGCATTTCATGCTAATTGTTTTTGTTTTTGCTAAAAGGGCACAAATGCAGATTAAAATTCACAACGTGCCTATTCAGCAGCACATTTGCTTTCGGTTCTCATGCGAGTGCCGCTGCTCCTCACGTCAGAATCCATCACGTTAAATTGTTTACGCAGTCATAGTGTGCAGTTAAATCGCAGCAGAGCAATGTGTGGTCTAGTTGTTTTTCCATTAGCCCCCCTCCTTTTCTCATTTTCAATAACCGTGCCAGGCAGCTAAACATTTTTACTGCTGCCATTATGATGAAGGTGCGCTGTAAGAGTTTCCACAAACTTTTTGTCCTGCTTTACCTCCCCCCCCCCCCATGTGTGTAACTGAGCTTCATTAATCATCCATCCTCCTCTATTAGGATCAGGACAATTGTAAATATGTGAAAGTTGTGTTCTGCTTCCACTTCTACAGGACAATGGCGCATGTTCAGCGACATGTACTGTGTGTGGAAAGAGGGGGGGAGTTCTGGACCACCCTCCTCATCCTGACGGGAAGTTGTTAGTTTAACCTGACAGGAAAGAATTTTGGGAAACTTGGCAGCAAGCGAAAGAGCGGGAGAGAAAAGCTCTCTGGAGTAACGGCTCATAGTCCGACTGTTATCATCATTCATGTTCCTCCTAACACACAACCTTCCATAAGAGTAGAAAGGATGACTCTTCCATCTTGGACACACTCCTCCTCACTGCTGTGATACACCCGTTCCCCCATCTCCTGTCCTGCCTCTCATTGGTTGTCCTTTGTCCAGACTCATGAATGCAGCCTGTGTTTGTTTTTCACCCCCTTCTTCCTCCCTCCTTGCTCCTCAGTCCCCTCTACCTGTATCGGTTACACCTGAGCGGGAAGGTGGAGGGCTCGGGTTACGGCCCGTAGAATAAGGGCGCCCCTTTGATGGGAGCAGGCTGGAGGGGATGGGGGTCAGCGCGGGGATGGGGGCTGAGAGAAAAGAAAGGATGTATTTATGTCTGGTGCTTGGCCGCTGCAGCATGCACCGCCTCACCTGGGTTGTGTTAATGGCTGCTCCCTGTTTGTGTTTGACACAGGGATGCTAAGTGAATGTTGTGTTTCTCAGCTCTGTGTGTGTGTGTGTGTGTGTGTGTGTGTGTGTGTGTGTGTGTGTGTGTGTGTGTGTGTGTGTGTGTGTGTGTGTGTGTGTGTGTGTGTGTGTGTGTGTGTGTGTGTGTGTGTGTGTGTGTGTGTGTGTGTGTGTGTGTGTGTGTGTGTGTGTGTGTGTGTGTGTGTGTGTGCATGTAAGTGCACGCACATGTGAGAAAAAGCTACAGAGAGGGTTCAGATCTTCTGAATAAGATTATGAACAATGAGCATCTTCTGAGTTGCAGATGACCTCAGTTTGGTGAGATAGGGTGTAATTCTCACAGGATTGATAAGCTAACAGCCCAAAAGCTGCTGTCTAATCCCACAGGTTGTGGGTTTATAGGAAAGATGCACCAAACAATGTGGTTGTGGTTTGATTTGGACAATTTTCTGCATTGTTTTACTTAACTGGTTGTTAGCTGGTCTGAACAGATAAAAATCAGATTAAAACATTTTTTACAGATATTTTTTAATATATTTTTTGTGGCTCCCAAAAATAAGACGTTTTTCCCAGTCTGTGAAATTAGCATCACTAAGCATCACTTAGTTTTAGGTTAATCAGAAGTAAACAAAAACATAATTTTGGTAAATATAGTTCTTAGAAGTAAACTGGAATCAGTAAAAATCTGTATTATCAGGTTAGAGCTGTACAATTGATCAGGATCAGCCCTTTAAACCAGAATTGGTGCGTTATTTCTTGAAAATACCATGAAAGTCAAAACTGACAATAATGTGAAAGGTTTGTAAAAAAAAAAAGCATACATGTGAGTCAAGGTAGTGTGTTTTTGAAATGGCAGAAATCTACTTCTCAGACTAGCCGTTAGCTCATCAATCTGATCAGAACTAATCTCACGTTTCATTGGGCACAAAAATAAGTAACGACCTACGTTATCTGTTGTGTTTTTCAGGGGGTAGTGTATGGAAGATGTCTGGAAAGAAAAGCCAGACTCCCTGGATGAGAAAGAAACGGGCTCCGCTGTTGTGTGCTCTGGGTGCAGTGCTCCTTTGCTGCCTGCATGGCGGCGCTGCAACCACTGGTAAGTCTCAAAAGTCAAATGATAAAATTGCAACTCTCTTAAATATTTGTCATTTTACTGAAGATGTTTCTAATCCTGAATAAATATCATGAGGTTTTAAATCTGCAGCAGTCTGACCTCACGATGCAGGGAGATTTCACGTTGATTATCCTGAACACGGCACGCGACAAGTCCTGCCAGGAAAAAGGCTCCTGGCTCCATCGCAGGGAGAGAAGTGTGGGCAGCAGCCACAGCAGTTTGTTTAAAATACATTTGAAAAAGTGGGCTGCAGTAAGCCACCATGGAGGAACTGAAAACAAAAACAACTGAATGCGACTCGGTTGGTAACTGATTTAATCATTTAGAAAAGTGTTTGGCTACATTTCTGGGAGCCATTTTTTAAATACGGTGAAAAAGAAGCAGTAATCTGGTTACGCGTGAAGATAAATGCTCTAATAATAAGTTGATGTTTTTGTTTACTTACAAACAGTGATGATTCGTGAATCTTTCTTCTTAATCGCCAAGAATGGCCCGATGCTGGTTCCTTTGTGGTCAACGCTGACTCCAGGCTTTTAAAACCAGGGCAGATTTTTAGGTCATTAATATATTTTGGTATTTTCCATTCAAGCTGTTTGTAGCAGCAAGTGTCTTGGTAAACATGCGCAGCCCGATAGCTGATTTAAACAGATGAAAGTGTGGCAGCTGATTTAATTATTGTAGTCAGGTAACTGGAAAAAAGAAGATATTAAACCTGCTGCAGCAAACGGAGTACGGCTCTTGGTTTGGAAAATACTGAAGCTGCATCAGTTTCTTTTTCTAAAGCGTTTGAGACGTAAATACATTTTTTTAAATGTAAACAAGCCCCTAAAACAGCTGATCTGTTGTTAAAGTGGAGCATAACATTAGCCAGCATTTCATTATTACACTAGCTACAATGTTTGTGTAATGAGTACTTTGATACCACAGCTACCCTTAGAGGTGAGTGTTGTTCAGGTGGTGTCCTACAGACTGGTGTCCAGTGGGACGTGTCCCTTTAGGTTAGCTCAAGTCCAGAATGTCTCCATCTGCATCTGAATGCTTTATGTGATCTCCTCCTCAGATGAGGTGCCGGTCTTCACCGAGGAGCCCGTGTCCGTGGTGCAGAAACTGGGAGGCAGCGCCACGTTGCGCTGCAGCGCCCAGCCCGCCTCGGCCAAAGTGACCTGGCGTCTGAATGACGAGCTGCTGATGGACGGCAATCGCGGCGTGGCGGTGCGTCCCGGCGGCCTTTTCATCCCAGCTCTGTCCAACCTGACTCTGGGCAGATACCAGTGCGTGGCCAGCACCGGCGCTGGAGCTCTGGCAAGCGTCCCCGCCAACGTCACGGCTGCCAGTGAGTATCCGCCCACTTGGAGCGGCGCCAGATCAACACAAACACACGAGGCACTTTCAGACTTTCTAAAAGGTAGTGGGAGAAAAGCAGGGAGGAGGGAGGTGTTTGTTTGCTTTAAACCTTTCCCAGTACAACCCTGGACTTCCCCACTGGTTCTGACGGGGCTGTGTGGACAAAGCAGCTGCTTCTCTACTGATCTGATGGTTAAAATGATGCTGAAGGTTTTAGTGCTGAGTGGGGGGTGCTGGATTTGACATGCATCATGGGATGGAGGGGGGGTTGGAGCTGTGTAACTGGAGCTTTAGGAATGGAGGGGACCCTGGCGGTCAGGACTCACCATGGACCCCCCCTTACCTCCTCTGGCTCCTTTGCTCCTCACAACACCACATTCCAATCTGTAGGGCCTGACAGAAATTATGACCCCATTATTGGCTAAAGGGAGATAAGCTGTGTGTGTGTGTGTGTGTGTGTGTGTGTGTGTGTGTGTGTGTGTGTGTGTGTGTGTGTGTGTGTGTGTGTGTGTGTGTGTGTGTGTGTGTGTGTGTGTGTGTGTGTGTGTGTGTGTGTGTGCGTGTGTGTGTGTGCGTGTGTGTGTGTGTGTGTGTGTGTGTGTGCGTGTGTGTGTGTGCGTGCGTGTGTGTGTGTGTGTGTGTGTGTGTGTGTGTGTGTGTGTGTGTGTGCGCGCGTGTGTGTGTGAGTGCGCGTGTGAGTGTGCGCGTGTGTGTGTTAGAGCGAGGGGGGGGGGGGGGGGCGCTGGATGGCGTGAGGTTTTCTAGGACCAGTCGAGACAAGACGTAAATATGAGACACGGTTCTTCGTCTCACCCCTTGCTCGTTTTTCACTCCCCCACCGTGCCACTTTCCTTCCACCTTTCATCAGCCCTCCTCTCCTGTCATCTCCACCTTCTCACGTCTTTGTTTTTCCACTCTCGTTCAGACAAAGTTACAGATCATGACTGAATATTAACCATATGTGTAGCCCCGCCTCTTCTAATCTAATAACGGTCCCATAGCGGGGAGAGTGTACGTGCTTGCCTTGCTCTTAGCTGTACGCACATGTTTTCAGTCATCAGTGTAGGTTAATTCCAGACCCTCCACACTTTTTTGGCATGAGTTAAAAAAAATCGCTGATCCTCACTTGGATTCTTGCGCTGACGATCACCCTGCTGCCATAGATCTGCGTGACGGGAACACATTGCACAAACACGTTATAATTCAAACGAGAACGGGGCCCTCCTGCTGCTGCGCATAAAGATGATGAATACACTTTCTGGAAATATTTTCCTGGTCTGGGAGGTCTGCTTCACGTTCTGCATACAATCATTCCTCTGTACGTGTAGGATGCTCACACACACACACACACACACACACACACACACACACACACACACACACACACACACACACACACACACACACACACACACACACACACACACACACACACACCTCTCTCCTCGGAAAAATATGGGTGTACACGTGCGGTGTTGCCACAGTTACCTTGAAATAGTAATCTGACTACTGACTACTCCTTCCAAAAGTAACTTGGTTACTTTACTGATTCATTCATTAAAAAAGTAACTGAGTTAGATTACGAGTTACTTTATTAGTTACTTTAAGCACCTACCAAAAACACTCTCCACTGCCTCAACATGAAAACTACAACTGGTTTTGCCAACACTCACTTTATTGCAAATGCTTTTTAACAGTAATGTCAACAACGTATCGTCTTACGTTTTAAGTTGAACTTAAAACCTATTGCCTGACAAAATGCATGTTTGTATAAAAATAAAATAAAAACAGTCTTTCTTGACCTCACTTAAAGTAAATAGTATTCATAAAAAATAAAACACACAGAGCCAGCACAGAGTGTACAACAAACCTTAATATTTTCATCTTTAACTGATACAAACTCAAAATAGTGACTATATTTCCAGCTAGAAAACGCACCTCCCTCTCCTCCCACCATTGTTGATCACGCTGTAGTACAAGGGTCGGCAACCTTTTCCCATCAAAGAGCCATTATTACCCGTTTCCCACAGTGAACACTGGGAGCCGCAGCAGCCGCTGCGTTGTGGGCGGGGCCTGCCCTAAAACAGCCGAGAGCTGCTTCAACCGATCACAACAGGTGACGGCAACCAATACCAGTCGCTCATGTACCTCAAAGTTATCTTTCAACAGAAGATGATAAATAAAACGTTTTGTATAAAACCGACCCAGAACTTGTAGCCCGTCTGTGCTGACAGTACTTAGGTATTTTTCACCCTGTTAGTGGTTTTAATGTTGAGCAGGTGACTCATTTTGACGCGTCACACACGTCTCCTTTTAAACATGTTTAAACTGTTCAGAATACAAATCCAGGCTCTGTCTCGTTGGATTGTTGTAGTTAAACTTTGTGCTGAGCTAAACTTTACATGAAACATTGTTGAAAAGGATCCGATCAATTTGTTTTTGCCTCATTTGCAGAGATGGAGATAACGGCGTAGTGCGCATGGCTCTGGTGTTAATCAGGTTTAATGTTCCTGTTGGCAACAATCTTCACGAGAAGGCAAAACAGTTAAATGACAGGGTTCACGATGGCTGGACGTTTCCCGTATTTCATCATTTATTTTGACGGAGAAACCTCAAGGCTGCAGATGCGCTGATATTTTTTATCGTTACGCGCATCGCGGAGGTAGCTACATCAATCAAGAAAAGAGTCCCATCAGAACATCTGAGCTGGACAGTGAGCTCCGCGCAGCTCACTGTCAGCGCACACGTAAGATAGACCGCGAGCTGAAGATGTGTAGATCGGGGGCTTGGAGCGCGTTGCAGAACCAGAGCTACGCGGGGAGGTTCCTCTCACCAAACCCTGTCTCTCAGAGAGACTCGTCACTTAGAAAATGTCTTAGGTGTGTTCTTGCTGTGTCGTATCTCTAATTTCATGCTGTAGTTCTTTTTTAAAACACAGAGCAGTTTTGTTTACCTGTTTTCCCGCTACGTTTCGTTTGCGGCTGCAAACTTCCTCAGGCTGACGGCATCGCGGTCCCGTTCTACTGTTTAGTGAAGCAGTGCACTGCTTCCCATGTGCAAGGAAAGAGCGCGCTGATTGGTCAAATACAGTATGCAAAACTGATCTTGGCTCCTCCTCTGCCATGTTTCATTTCCTTAACTCAGGATTTTCCGAAGCAGAAACAATTCCGAGTAAGGGATAAAGTAACGCAGTATGGCTTGGACAAGTAACTATAATTTGATTACTAGTATGGAAAAAGTAATGCGTTAGATTAGTTGTTACCAAGAAATGACGTTATTTTAGAGTAACGCGTTACATAACACGTTACTGGCATCACTGTACACGTGTGTGTTTGGGGTTAAAATGCCAGAAGAAGCAGGATGGGTGGATGTGAGGGAGAAGCACCTGATTGATTTAGCAAATGGAGCGCCACTAAAACTCTACATGCCTCAGCTTGGATCGTGTGTGTCCGTGTGTGTGTGTGTGCGCGCGCGTGCGTGTGTGTGTGTGTGTGCGTGCGTGCGTGCGTTCCTCTGGCCCTGATTGAGCTCGATCTGCTGACCATAGTTACTAGAAGCTTGTTTTTAAACTTTTTTGATGAAGATCGTTTCTGCTCCAACACAAACACTCCCATTAGAGCACCTCTGGAAAGAACGTCAGCCCGTGTTTGTGAAGAATAAATCAACAAAGGCTGGTAGACGTTTAATTACGTTCCTGGAGAAGTTCTATTTATCTTTCATTTTACTCCTCAACTCCTTCATGACAAATTTCTCCTATTTTCTCTCCTCCTCCTCCTCTTTTCTTTCCCTCAGCTTTAAATTTCTAAAACGGCGTCGCCTCCCCCGCTGAGACTTTTTATGACTTTGGTTTTTGTTCCGGCCTCTTAGGAGCCGGGTTTTAGCTGCTTCCTCACAAACCCCGGACTGGATCTCTTCCTCTGAAACCCTATCGGGTGGACGACCTTCTCTCTCACCTTTGACCCCCATCGTCAGGCCACTGGGCTGCTCAGGCAGGGGTTTAAGGAGGTCGGGGGAGGGGGGGCGGGTCAGATGAACATCTATGCTGTGCAGACTTTGTGTCTGCGCAGCACAGTTGAAGCACACGGCCCCAGTAATCCCACTCGCTGGTTTCCCACAGCTCCAGTCCCAGGATGATGTCTGACAGGATTAATGACACCTCCTCAAATGTTAAAGCCTCCATATTTAGGCTTTTAGCGTGAAATGACACCAGCAGACGGCTGCTTTTCTAAAATTCCTGTGCCTTTTAACTGGATCGGGTTAACACAAGCAGTGGGAAACAATGTGGTTGCAACACAGCAGAGAGAGAGAGAGGCTGGCATTGCATAGAAACAGTAAAATTATTATTGCTCAAAATATTGTGGTTTTTCTTCTTTTCTGCAGACTGACTGTGTGCTTGTGCAGTTAGACGTGATTGACTTTATGTATTAAGCTGCTGAAGGAACGCCAAGTTGTTTTGCAACACAGCTGACCCCCCCCCCCGCCTCTGTGCGTCCATTTAAAAAAAATTTTTTTGCAGAGCTACGAGACTTCGAGCCCGACGTCCAGCAGGAGATCGAAGTGGACGAAGGCAACACGGCTGTGATCGAATGCCATCTGCCCGAGAGTCAGCCCAAAGCTCAGGTCCGCTACAGCGTCAAACAGGAGTGGCTGGAAACATCCAAAGGTACCGCTGATTGATTCCCAAACTGTCTCTAATTTACTGGAATGCTCTAATCCTCCTATCTTGAGCCCCTCATAAACCCCACGAGAAGGCTGTTATCTGGAGAATGCTGTTGTTTATTTTCAAACTATTTACTTTCAAGTTGCCTGGAAGAGAAGAAAAGCTCTGGTGGGTTGTTGCTGGTATGTTGATGATGCCTGGGAGCTGTAGGTACTGATATCTGCTGCTTATCTGCAAGGAAATAAGTTGTTTTCTGACTGCTCTGGGTCGGACTCAAGGGCGCCACCCTCTGGCCCATTCTGGCAGTACCTTTGTGTATCTGAATGGCTTTAAGGCACTTATTTTTTTTCCCCTACTCTCTTTTGCTTGTATTGTTGAGTTTGTGTTTCAGAAGCTGTTTGTGTTCGTCTCACTTCTGGTTTGTGTTTTTTCCTGCAGGAAACTACCTCATCATGCCGTCAGGTAACCTGCAGATAGCCAACGCCACACAAGAAGACGAGGGGCCGTACAAGTGTGCAGCATATAACCCCATCACTCAGGAGGTCAAAACGTCCTCGTCCACTGACCGCCTGCGAATACGCCGTAAGCCTCAGCGCTAACGCTAACACAGAAAAAAACAATAAGTAGGATATTTTGAAGTGAAATGTTTGAAACATTTTACCTCATCTACTTGAGGTATAGAAATGGAGACTATTTGTTTGTATTGACGTGCTAACAGCTAGTCTTAAGAGGGGCCAAAATGTAAAGGGGTCATGACCTCGTTTATAAACCTGTACATTGTATTCAGTTTTGTTGTTCTTTAGGCAGAAATATTATATTCCTGCAGAAAGTGCCCCAGACTGCACAGGGAGTGCTAAAGCTAGCTGCTGATGCTAACTATGTTCATAAACATAATGGAAATATGAAGGTTTAAATAGTTTTAGCATAATTTGCTATGAAATAGCTTTATTTTGTTTAAATCCTACACTGACTAGCTGTTAGCCCATCAATCTAATTAGAAATAATCTCTAATTCTCCAAACTGAGGCTGTTCAAAGAGCAAGTAACACATTTATTGTTCATAAATCCAGTTCTAAGAACTGAACTTTGACTTTAAAGGCTTAACTTCAGAAGCTGCAGCGCATTTGGAGCCCATGTGTGATTCATAAACCTGTCAAGTGTGACCTTTCATTGTTTGATCTTGATCACATCTAGTCGCACATGCTGACGTGCAGAATTCACGCTTATGAATCTTCAAAGTCTGGGATGAAAGTGTGAGGCATCTGCTTTGACGTTGTCACCCAAACGGTCCTCGTCTCTTTCAGGCTCCACGTCAGAAGCGGCTCGCATCATTTACCCTCCGGCTCCTCGCTCCATCGTGGTGACCAAAGGCCAGCGGCTGGTGCTGGAGTGTGTGGCCAGCGGCATCCCGACTCCCCTGGTCACCTGGGCTAAGGACGGGCAGGACTTGAGTTTCCATAACAACACACGCTTTTTGCTCAGCAACTTGCTGATCGATGCGGTGAGCGACGGCGACTCTGGCACGTACATCTGCAGGGCGGACAACGGCATGGGTTCCGCAAGCGCCGCCACCGTGCTGTACGACGTGCAAGTTTTCGGTGGGTTGACCAACGCATTTATTCATTCGCTGTGTGTTTGTGCGCGCGCGCGCGTGTGTGTGTGCAGAAGCAGCAACAACATGGTGGAGACAGGGTTCTCTGTTCTGCAGCAGGACTTAATTGAGTGCGTCTAAGTTATGGATGACTGTTTTTACAGTGATTTGTGTGTGTGTGTGTGTGTGTGTGTGTGTGTGTGTGTGTGTGTGTGTGTGTGTGTGTGTGTGTGTGTGTGTGTGTGTGTGTGTGTGTGTGTGTGTGTGTGTGTGTGAATGCATTTTGGGCATGTCTCTCTGCAGCTGGCTCTAATTAAAGTTGGAGTGCTGCTGCAGCTGTAATGAGTTCTCTGCACCCCCTTCTCTATTCACAAGCAGCCAACCATCAACTGCCTGGCCTGCCTGACTCTACACACCCCTTTTTACACTTTACACACACACACACACGCACACACACACACAAGCTTATACGGTTGTTTTTACTCAAACCTTTTTTATACTGAAAGCCCCTTGTTGTCTGTAAATGATTCCTAGCCGAAGTCATGAACAAGCGTTTCTCCTGTGCAAACACTAATGCGTTATCCTGCTTTGCCCCTGCAGAGCCTCCTCAGGTGACCGTGGAGCTGCAGCAGCAGGAGGTGGTGTACGGAGAGACTGTGCGCTTCACCTGCCAAGCCCGTGGTAAGCCCACTCCCTCTGTGACGTGGCTCCACAACTCCTGGCCCCTGGCTCAGTCTTCCCGCCATCGCCTCACCTCGCGGGTGCTGCGCGTCTTTAACGTGGGCCCGCAGGACGAGGGCCTGTACCAGTGCATGGCGGAGAACGGATTGGGCAGCTCGCATGCCTCTGCTCGCCTCATCACCGTTTCAACAGGTAGGTTGTGGAGTTGTGGCAATTCTCCGGTTTGACGGCTCTTAGATTAAATGAGGTTTGTGGTTCTTTTGTAGGGATTTCTTCTGGGAAGCGACTGCCCTCCATCTATCGCCCTCTCAGTCCCGATAAGGTGCTGAAGGAGCAGCCTCCCATAAGGTCCGGGGCTACTGGAGCCATGCTTCCTCTGGACTGCTCCGAACTGCCAGGGCAGATTCTCCCTGCAGACGCTCCAATCATCCTTAGTCAGCCGCGCACGGGCAAGGCCGACTCCTACGAACTCACCTGGAGGCCGAGGCACGAGCGAGGCGCTCCTGTGCTGGAGTATGTCGTCAAATACAGAAAGGTAAAACCTGACCGGCTCCAGTAAACCACCAAGTCTCAGTTTCTGTAGAGTAACCCGAGTCTTCTGTTCCTCCTTCAGGAGGGAGGCTTTCTAGCAGAGTGGACCACCAGGAGCATCTCAGGCTCCCTCCATAAGCTCACTCTCACCAAACTTCAGCCTGACAGCTTGTATGAGGTGGAGATGGCTGCCAAGAACTGTGCGGGTTTGGGTCAGCCGGCCATGATGACCTTCAGGACCGGCAGAAGTACGACAAACTCAGATTGGTCACATGCTCATTATCGTCAGAACGCACCTGCTGACTTGTTTTTCCCTGTCTCTAGATCGTAAAGGCTTGGGGGGGCAACACGACCCACCAAAACCTCCTGCCGTCCCCTCACCAAGCCTCTCTCGTAAGTTTATTGCTATGACAACCCCTCTGATTAACAACACTAATGAGATCTGATCTAGAACTCACTTAGCTTCCTTCCGGCTAACACCTCTCACTCTCTCTTGCATTTCTGTCTCTGGAGGATGAGCTCCCAGTAAGTCCTGTTTGGGATCTCACACACCGACATTCTGTTGTCGTTTACGATTCCGGTCTCTGTTGTTGTTGTTTATCTGACACCCCCTCTGCCCCGCAGCTCCAGAAGCTCCCGATAAACCCACCGTCTCCACGGCCACCGAGACGTCGGCTTACGTGACTTGGATTCCTCGTGGTAACCGCGGCTTCCCCATCCAGTCGTTCCGGGTGGAGTACAAGAAGGTGAAGAGGGCTGGGGAGGACTGGGTGACGGCGGTGGAGAACATTCCCCCGTCGAGGCTGTCTGTGGAGATCACGAGCCTGGAGAAAGGTCGGTCACCAGAACATGCAATTTAAACAGTTACTCTGACTTGGGTGGGGGGTTGTAGGATATAATTACAGTGATGCTCTGCATAATTGCACCCCCACGATCTGCAAATGTATCACCAGAATGAGTGTCGGGAGTCATTTCAGTGATTACCGCAATAATCAAAACGGCTACGGTAAAATTAGCAAAGCATAGCAGAAAGTCAGCGTTTACGTTTAAATCCGAGTCTGCGGCCGCGAGACGATGATGCTCGTTTGTCTTCATACAGGGACGTCCTATAAGTTTAGAGTGGTGGCGGTGAACGTGATCGGCTCCAGTCCTCCCAGCGCCCCGTCCAAGGCCTACACGGTGGTGGGAGGGAGAACGCATGAACGTCCTGTGGATGGACCCTACATCACCTACAACGAAGCCATCAACGAGACCACCATCATCCTGAAATGGACCGTAAGTCCTCTAGAAGTCAGCGTCAGGTTTCCGTCTCTTTGTGGTTGCTAACCTGACTGATTCCCATCCGAGCAGTACACTCCTGTAAACAACACGCCCATCTACGGCTTCTACATCTACTACCGGCCTACCGACAGCGACAACGACAGCGACTACAAGAAGGACGTGGTGGAGGGAGACCGATACTGGCACTCCATCACCGACCTGCAGCCGGAGACGGCCTACGACATCAAGATGCAGAGCTTCAACGAGAAGGGGGAGAGCGAGTTTGGCAACGTGGTGATCCTCGAGACAAAAGGTGAGGATTGGTCTGGTTTTCGGAAGCATTCAGAAGCAGACGGGTCAGAACCTGACTCTTCTTCATTTGGTTTCTCAGCTCGTCCCAACAGCCAACGGACGATCCCGTCCGAAGCTCCAAACCAGGAAAACCAGAACCACGGCGTCTTTGTACCCCGGCCTGGCGACCTCCCCTACCTGATAGTTGGTATTGTCCTGGGAGCCTTCGTCTTCATCATCGTTGCCTTCATCCCTTTTTGTCTATGGAGAGCTTGGGCCAAACAGAGTGAGTGTTGCTCTCAGCTCCTTGACCTTGATTAGGACTTCATATCTGTGTGTGTGTGTGGGCTGCGCAGTGGTTAGAGCTGTTGCCTTGCAGCAAGAAGGTCCTGGGTTCGCTTCCCGGCCTAGGATCTTTCTGCATGGAGTTTGCATGTTCTCCCTGTGCATGCGTGGGTTCTCTCCGGGTACTCTGGCTTCCTCCCACAGTCCAAAAACATGTTAGGTTAATTGGTCTGTCTAAATTGTCCTTAGGTGTGAGTGTGTGTGTGCATGATTGTTTTTCCTGTGTGTCTCTGTGCTGCCCTGCGATGGACTGGCTCTCTGTCCGGGGTGTACCCCGCCTGATTGCCCATTGACCGCTGGAGATAGGCACCAGCCCCCCCGCGACCCTGCGTGGACAAAGCGGGTTCAGAAAATGGATGGATGGATCTGTGTGTGTGTGTGTGTCTGTGTGTGTGAGTGTGAGTGTGAGTGTGAGTGTGTGTGTGTGAGTGAGAGAATCATTGTTTTCTCTTCTCTTCAGAGCAAACATCCGACATGTGTTTCCCCACCGCGGCTGCTCCCGTCTCTTCATGCCAGTACACGATGGTTCCCCTTCAGGGACTTGCTCTGGTTGGACACTGTCCTCTGGACACACACCATACAGCACCACATGGCGTTTACCCGGCTAACGGCGAACACCTCCAGAACGGCAAAGCTCACCATCCAAAGGAGCGTCTGCCAGGCCTGCAGCAGGTAAATCACCTCAGGCTTAAGCTTTTTTAACAAAAATAAATGTCTTTTTTATGAAAAAGATCTAAATACTTCATTTTTTATTCAGGATGAAGAGGATTGTGACATGGAATGTGAAACTCTTCTGCCACAGACGATGTCAAATGGACATCTGCCGGTCTACCACTACTCCACCTGGTATGTTTTCATAAAAATAAACACGCTATTGTTTATATGAAAAGAAACCAAATCAAAAATGTTAATTTTGAACGACCCCAGTATAGAGAAACAGAGATTAGTTCAGAACAGATTGACAAGCTAACTGCTAGTCATCCTTAAAACAACTTCTAATTTAAAAAATTCATGTGAATTGTATTTTTAAATGTCTTTACATAGCATCATACTTTCATTCTGGCAGTATCTTACAGGAAGTGACTCAAGTTGCACAGGAAGTTCTGCTGCTTTCTGTGCTTGTAAACAACAACTTAATGTTTACAAAACTGCAGCGTAAAGACTTAAAACGCAGGATTAACACGAGCCACCTTAAAAATGAGGTGATTGAAGTTATAAGAAGTCAGCAATCTGCTGTTGCCTGTTACTAGCCGTTAGCTTGTGGGTCTGTTCTGAAAAAAGTAGTTTCTCTAAACTGAGGTTGTTCAAAACGCTGCCTGCAACAAGTAGTAGATTTAATGGTTGACATTTATTAGTCAGAAAATCCAGTAGCAAAGGGGTTTAGCTAACGACTCGTGATAAAATTAATCTTCGGCTCATATGGATGACTTTGTTTCTTCAGCAGCAACGAGCTTCACAAACAGACCTGTTGTCCTCCTGATGACTCCGCCGTTCAGCAGCTTGCCGGATGTCAGGACGTGGGGGGAGACGGCAGGTTCTGTGATGGAGACGGAGCAGAGGTTATAACTCAGAGTAAGTGTGGATCAGTGTAGAAGCACACATTTATCAAATGATTAAAAAAAGATCCTGTCTAATAAAGATTAGTTCCTGATCAGTGCGTTTCCTCTCCTCCAGAACCAGAATCTCTCCAACTTCTGTCTCTAGAAGACGAGATTTTCACCACATCGTCTTCAACAACGCGACGATCCCAAGACACCGTTCAGGAAGTGAGCGTCCTCCCTGTATGAAGTGTCCCCCGAGAACAAAGGGTCGGCCGACACTCCAGATGTTTAAAGAGACTCTTAGTGAACAGAAAACAAGAAAGTATTTATTTTTGTATCAGAAGTATTTATATATTTATGCTTTTGTACATAATGATTCTATTGTATATATGGTTATTTTCATATTCAAGAAGACTTTTTATTCATACACCTGCTTGTTTGATGTCATGAACAAAGGGAGTGGTGGCACCGAGTTTTCCTGAAGATGTGAGACGGGTTTCCTTCTGTCAGTACTTCACATCCTCCTCATGTCATTCCTGGTTGTTTTGATACTAACAGGAAACAAAGAGACCACTTCCTCCAGTCAGATGCTGTCTTCACCGAGGTGCTCATGTTCTACAGATAAATGTGTCCACGTAGTATAGCTATAACACAAAAACCTATTATGCATCGCTCATCATTAACAAACTATTAACGTGTATGCAACATAAATCATTGTTTCAGTAGCGTTCAAGAGATTATGTATATTATATATTGTATAGATATTTATTTTTATGGAGTTTGATATTTTTTAAATCACTGAATGGGAGAGATTCTGGAAGACGACTCAAGTCATCGATAAGCTGAAATTTATACTGCAGCCACTTGTGTGTTTACTTGTTTGCTGGTTAACCAAATGTCTGCCAGTAGAGGGCGCTGTGACTGGTGTGTTAGTATTATGTTTCCCTCCTCTTCCTCACTGGTTAGTGCAAAAAAAGTATTAGTCTGTGACAGAAACGTCAAAATGAAGGAGATCCTGAATCTACTCCCTGAGAAGTGTGCAGCTTTCCTGCTGCTGCACATGCTGGAGCACTATTGCATGTAAATAAAAGCTCGTGAATTTTATTTGTCTGATGCATCTTTTTTATTCGCAGCAGGAGATGTTTTTGCGTTTGTGTGTATTTGTTAGTTATTTAATGAACTGGAACAAAGCGATCACAAAGTAATCATTGGATGTTTCTCTACTTCTGCTTTTGGTTCACTTCAGTCTAAGATGGCTGCTGCAACCAATATCATATTCAAAAATACTTTATTAATCCCAGAGGGAAATTAGAGTATAAAAGAATGGCAACAGCTGTAGTAGCTGAGAGTCACAAAAAACACAAAGGTGTAAACTTTTTACATAAATGTATTGTCTCCAAACCAAAGCTAAACATTTTTACCTAAAAACTACAGTAAGAAGGGAATTAAAGCATTAATTCCAACATTTCCAGGATACGGAAGCCCATTACTGTCACTAATACAGCTTGTATCTCATATTACTGGTTCTCACATTCTCATTGTAGGGAGGTGAATGTTGTTGCTTTTAAGCTTATTACATTACCTTTACTTATGACCAGGAAGATGTAGTATTCTATATAAATATAGAATATCAACCTGCTTGGTCTTTGAATGTTTAATCAGAAGATTCTAGGATTCTTTGCTTTTTCAGTGATCAAACACACTTCGTGCTGCTGCAAGAAGAGAGTCAGGTTTATAAAAAGTAAGAATTTATTTTCCAAACAATTAAAAACATGACAAGTTAACCAAGGCTAATGTGATGGATGAATCTAAGTGGATGGGATGTGATGTCTGATGACCATGGGTGAGTGTGAGGTTATCAGAACCTTCGAATCTAGAAGACTTGAGTTCTGGGTGAAAAGAATTTGGTTTGAATTTAACGATGAAGTTCTTATCTAAAACACATCAGACGCGATCTGTCATGTCTTCGTACCCCAAGTGGAGACTCTCTTTTTGGATCCGAGATGTCAGGGGGTCGGGTGACCCCAAAGTACCGAAGATTAACCGCAGTACGACCAGGTCAGTCGAGTCATCTCCAGGTCACAACAGTTTGGGGCTAGTTTGCATCTCGAATGGATTCTTAAGGAATCTTGCTGTCAGCTTTGTTCTGCAGGAACCGTTTGGCTGTGTCAGCTGTAGGCAGCTTTTAGCTTGTCGAAAGCTTTGGGTTAAAGAGGGTTTGCTTTGGATGGCCTGTCCAAAGTTTTCCCTAGAACTGAGTGCTAAACCTCACAGGATGTTGGAAGCTGGAAGTTGAAGTGCTGAATCACTGTAAGTGATTCTGTTTTAATATTCTCATATTATGATTACTTGACAAATCAGAATTGGCCATGTGAGGAGAGTTTTACCAAGAACCTCAGAAAACACGCCTTCTTTCAGATACAGATGCTCTGATTTGTGGGGGTAAGAAAGTATCTATGTGTCATGAGTTTAACTTAACTTTAATTTATCTCTAATGAACCTTGCCATTTCCAACATTCATTTCATCATTTATATGTCATTTCAAACTTCGGTAATTCAAGCGCAGATTAATCAACCTTATCAATTTAAGCACAGATTATATTCATTTATAGTACAATTATTATAATTGACAATAAACAAACATTTATTTAATGATTATTCATCTTATGAGTTGTAGAAGTTCATCTTTTGTCCTGTGAAGCAAGCAGGTAGGCAGGCCACTGTTTGGCAGAGAAGACCTTGAGGAAGGAACGTGATGTTGACAATACGTTATCATGTGTTCAGAGCTGCAGAGAGGCTCTGAACTCCAGCTGATGGAATGCAGGATCCGGCAGGTTAAAGGCAACACATGTAGACTCCACATGGCCAGATAGTGAAGAGGTCAAACTGTACATCAAAACTGACCATTTGTGGATGTTACATCATATTATAGGTATCTCAGATAGTTAAGTCATGATTATCTCAATTATGAGATGTAAGATTTTTTATTAGAGTGGTGGCAACGGGCTTCCATACTATCGGAGTATAAATGAGGAAAAACAAGCATCTTTTTGATTTAGTGGATTTAGGTTTAAATTTGAGGTCCTTCATTCAGAATTGACATTCAAATATAAATGTGTGTGTGTTCTGCAGGAAGCAAACAAAAGGTCCATGTGTGCAAAACCAACATTTTTGATTAACTTTTTAACAAAATACCTTCACTGAGCTTTTATGTGAGATAAGCACATTTAAGCAAACTATGAATATTGAAAGACTTTGCAGCGCTGCTTGTTATAGTAGTATTAATAAAAATGTTAATATGTTGTGTATCGGATAAATTAAATTATGAAGGTCAGTTTTCATTCAGCTGTTTAAGTAGGTAAAGCCACATTTAGCTAATTAAAAGGTTTTTAACTCATTCTAATTTACAAATATTAGTAGTCATGTCACCCTTTAACCCCAACGAACACTCCAAATTCTAGAACATTGTGTGGAGTCTCTCCATTATTGTTCAACATAAGGATTTTTCCATTATTTACTCTTAGTTGAGTTGTTTTTAAATTAAAAACAAATTGAGTTGTGTAACATTTAAATAAAAAAATCTTTTTTGAAACAACTAGTCACCTAAAATGAGTAAAGTGTAGAAAGCAAAGACGATTCTCGAGGACGAAGTAAATACAAATGTCTCCTTATAAACTTTATTAATCCATTCTGTATTTACAAATATATACATCATCTAGCAACTTTGATATGAAACATTAATATTTACAAAATAGCTCTTGAACAAAAAGGATTCTGTACAGTGCAACCTGATATAAGTTAGTAAATTACATTAGTAACTGTGCAGAAGGTATTTTATGACCCAGAATACAAAGAATTCAAGTTCTGAACTTTAACATTTTTTACCAACCAGTCAGTTTAATCCAACATAAAGAATTAAGGGTTTCATTTCCCTAAGATGAATCATTTTGTGACATCACAAATGTCAAAAGGTAGAATTTAACAGGAGAAGGTGTGAGCATGTAAACAATCAGGTGAATCGTTGCCGCCGTCTTTAACGTTAAAGAAAATGCGTTTGGAGCAGATTTTTTTCACCCCATCCTCTTGAGCGGTGCGCCGTCGTCATACAGCCGAGCTGCCGTCGTGGCCCAGGATGTGGCTGATGTTGTGTGCGGGTCGATTGGGCTGCTTGCCGGAGTCGGAGGACGATGTGTTGGACAGAGACAAAAGGGGAGACATAGGCATGGCGGAGCCATCGGTGGGCATGCCGGTGGCGATATCAGGGAACAGCGAGGTGAGGCTGAAGTTGGAGATATGGGGGGTGATTCCAGACGAAGGCATGGGGGGCATTTCTGGAAGCAAGGAGAAACCGGCCTGACCGAAGCCCACGGGGCGGGGTGGGGACAGGATGGAGCTGAAGCGGTTGTTGAGGGGCGGAGCGCTGCTCTTGTCCACGTTGGGACTTGTGAACATCTGGTTGGGGAAATATTGGAGCGTGACGTCGCTGGGGAGGCTGGGGTGAGCGGCGGGAGAATAGGAGGGGTAGAAGGAGGGTAGAGTATTCTGGGGCTCCACAGGGAGGAGTGATGGGGTTCTGGAGGAGCTGGGCTGACTGGCTGGAGGGATGAAGGTGGAGTTGGCGTTGATAGGAGGTGGAGGATTCATCCCTCCTTCTGAAATAAAGGGGAACCCAAAGTTCTGTGTCAGGTGCTGGTCAGAGACCAAGTTGTTGTCACCAGGAACCTGTGAGCTGTCTGCCATAAAGCGTACGATGGCGCTGCGTCTAGGCTCTCCTCCAGACTGTGGCCGCCCCAGCAGCACCCCTCCCCCAGAGGGCAGAGGCAGATGACCCTCAGGCTCAAAGGGATTGGTCGGTCTCAGAGTTCCAGACCGCGGCCGCTCACTGGGTCTCTGTTTGGTGGACTGCGTGTCTCTGGGGAGATGACGGGAGTGCTGACTAACGGGAGGTCTGGAGCGGCCTGGCTCGGAGCTGCTGTGTGGCGTGGGAGGGTGGGGGAGACCAGCTCGGACGCCCGTGTGCATATTACCGCTGACCTGAGAAACGTGACCCTTGTTGCCCTCTGAGAGCCGCATAGCCGGAGCTTTCTGGGACTGGGGGACGCTTGGGCTGGACGCCTTGGCCTGGATGGCTCCTGAGGAGCTTGCAGACACACAGCTGTACTCCATGCTGACTGGAGGGCAGCACTGAATTGCTCTCTGGTGGTTGTTTTGCTCAGGAAGTTGAGGGGAGAGGAGGCTCTGCATAAAGCTCTGGTGACAGCCTTCCTGCTCCCGAGACCCCACCTGTCCTCCCTGAGGGCCGGGGTGAGGGCCGCTGTAGCCACCGCGGTTCCTCCCGTCTGCAATCGGGCCCACGCTCATTCTGAATCCTCCCTGCTGCCCCTGAAGGCCCCTCTGAGAGGGAGGCACCGGCTTAGAGGCCAGATCACTCCCACGTGAGACTTGAGTCTCAAATCCACCAAGCTGATGCGCTCCCCCTCCTCCACCACCCATCACCTTGAAGGGCTGACACTCCGAGCCCCTCTGGACATCGCTGGGTGCCGGATGTTCAGATGGGAGGCGGTTCTGTGGGTTGTGTGGAATGCTGGCCTTCCCTCGCGCTGTGTCCAGATAACCTCTGAGGTCAGCTTGCTCCTGAGCAGCACCGCGACCGGGCTGAAGGTGGACAGCAATCCGCTGCTGCTGCTCTCCACTAGTGGAGCTTTTACTGATGAGCGCCTCAGCCGAGTAGTTGGAAACACGGTGACGTTCCTGGCGAGTCGGAGCACAGGCCAACTCGGATGACCGGGATACTGGATTGCTGGGAGGAGAGATGAGCTGCTGCTCCAGGCTCCGGGAGCTCATCATCCTCTGCATAGCGGTGTGGTCCTGACCAGCCTGTGGGGGGGTGTCAGAAAGATCAATGAATACGTTAGCAAACTATAAAGACACAAAGGCACATTCAACAGACATGCAGCACTGTTTTAATCCAAAACTGGACTTGTAACTGATTAATTTTCTCTTTTTCAGAGACACAAACCTTGAGGTGGTCCTGCTGGGCCATGTGGCTGCTGTGGTGGGCCCTGGATCCCACTGATTGGCCTTCACAAGTCTTCTCCTGGTGCCTAAAGTGCTGCTGCTGCTGGAGCTGCTGCAGATGCTGAGGGTGTCTGGAGTGGGAGCTCTGCTGCTGCTGCTGCTGCTGCTGGAGCTGCTGCTGCTGATGCTGGGCCTGAGGAGGCTGTGGATGTGCCTGTTGTTGGTGCTGCTGTGGATGAGATTGTTGGTGTTGCGCTGGCTGCTGATGCGGTTGTGACTGTTGGTGTGACTGTTGTGGGTGCTGCTGATGCTGATGTTGATGCTGCTGAAGTCCAGACTTTTCCAGGTGATGCTGCTTCTGCTGCAGGCCAGCAGGTGAGCTGGTCTGACTGCCTCTGACCATCCCGCCTCTGACCATCCCTCGCTTCTTTTGGACATGCTGCTCTTGCTGTTGCTGCTGCAGCGCCCTCTGGTGTAGCGAGTGGCGCTGCGCAGGGTCAGGCTGAGTCAAGTGATGCTGTAAATGGTAGAGATGCTGTCGCTGCTGTTCTTGCTGCTGCTTCATATAAGGGTTCCCCCCCAGATGTGGACCTGGTTGGTTTACTGAATGTTGCGGACGAGGTTGAGGCATCTGAAGCACCCCTGCTGGATTCTGCTCTGCAGCTCCTTGAGGGGGACAGTGGCCCTCAGCGGGACGCACAGCCGAACTCATGAAAGAGTTTGTTGAGAAGAGCGAGGTTCCACCATCTGAACTGATCCTCGTCAAGACAGCTGAGGTGGTGGAGGGCAGCTGTGGCACCATCATCTGACTGTGGTCTGGTGCTTTCACATCCATGTGGCTAACAGCATTAGCAGGTGGAGGACACGGTTTGGGTCTCTTCCCTGTGTTTAGCAGGACCTCGTCCTGAGCCGGTCTTTTGGCGATGATCTTCACTTGTCGCTCACTCACGTTTCCAGGCTGAGCCCTCATCGATGAGGTCTTCATGGTGTTGTACTCGATTACGTGGGCGGCACCCGAGCAGGGGGACAGGGCCTTGTTTGGAGCTTGGGACATATGAGCCGAGGCTCCTACGGGGGAGGGCACAGAACCTTGTTGGACGGTGAGATTAGGAGAACTGGGGTATGGCGGGTGATTGGAGCTGGGTCTGATCAGGTTGTTCACACTCAAGGTGGCTGCCGTACCACTCTGCACTGAACTCTGAGACTGGAGCGCCTGAGGCTGTGAGTAGACAATATTCTGTGGATTTCTGCTTCCGTTTGGCCCGCTGATGGACACGTCCCCAGCCTGTCCTCTGACAGACATCTCAGCATGCGTAAGCGTCCCTGGATCCATGGGTTTGGTCATTTTAGCCTGCTGGCCAGCTGAGCCCCTGTCTTTACCTGTGGACACCGCTGGAGGTTTAGAGGAGTCCCATGAGGCGGTGGTGGCAACGACAGAAGGCGCGTTGTCCACAGAACAACCCCCACTCCGTCTCCCAGGGCTGTCCTGCTCCAGCATGGCAAATGCAAGCATCTCTGCCTGCTCAGATGTGAACGTGAACGTTCCAAAGGAGCCAGAAGATCCACCGATACTCTGACCCTGCGGAAGCATCGAGGCCACGGAGAATCCTCTTCCACCCCCGGCTCCTCCAGAAGTGGGAGAATCCGTCTGCCCATTGGGGTTCTCCAAAGACTGATCATCTAGGTTAGTGTACACTTGCTGAGACAGTGCAAAGTCCTTTTGTGAGGGAGCTTCAGAAGCTGCTGCTACTACTAAGCTGGCTTTATCCGCTGATGTGGAATGCCTCTCCTCCATCGTCGCCTGTGCTGGTTTGACTTCTGCAGGATGGCACGAGGACATCTGAGGTCCGGTAACCTCAGTCTGCTGCAACGGAGCTCTTGGAGTTGTGTTCTTCTTCCTGAACTCTAAACCAGCCGCGACTGAGCTTTGGGGAGCGGAATATTCAACATCAGGCGCTGAAGTTGTGGACACGGAAAACGGAGCGGTGGACTGAGAGTCTGGTTTATTACAGACTGATGGGTTTTGCATTTTAGATTCCAGGGAGAGACGTGAGGGAACCATCAGAGCGTTCTGGTTTAAAGTTACTGGAGCAGTAGTCGTGAGGCTGCTGGTGCAGACTTGATTTGAACACAAAGTGGAACTCCCAGCGGAGGTGTTCTGAACCTCAGCGGCTGCTGCAGAAACATCCAAAGCTGTGGTTTTAGAATCAGCCGCAGGGATGGGTAACTTACTCGGTGCTTCTGCACAAATCGGATGTTTGTTTACAGTCGAGCCGTCAGAAACCGAAGCTGGTTTACTCTCCGACGACTTGGCCGATGTTTCGCTAACGTTAGCTGCATTTGTGACGTCACTGGTGACAGCTTGACTCAAGCCACTTTGAGACGAACCAACAGAGCTTTTCTCCTCTGGAGGACTAAAAACAGCCGCGTCACTGGATGAGCTGCCCACGATGTTCTGTGCTGACTCCACACAGACAGCTTCACTCCTCTTTGTGACATTTGTGGAGCACGCTGGGAGAAGGTCTGTGACTTTGACTGTTGAGGGCGGCAGAACTTCAGCGGTTTGTTCTCCTGCAGCAGAAACAACAGCAACCTGTGCAGGAGAGAGCACCTTCTTCTTGGCAGGTTTAGTCCTTTTAGCTGCTGCTTTCTTTGTGTTTAAAACGGAGCGAAGCTTCTTCCCTGAGGGCTTAGAGGCCTTAGCCGCTTGCCCCGAGGTGACCGGGTTCGCACCAGGAAGCTGTAGCTGCTGTGCAGGAAGTGCCAGCGTGGCTCCAGAGATGGATTCAGGAGCAGGAGGCTGACAACTGCTCTGACTAGAAAGAGGGAGGCCTTGAGAGATACTCTGATTAAGACTACTAAGGGCCCCTAAACTATTGAGGGCCACGTTAGTAGTTGGCTCCTCTGTGGTGGTGGGCTGGACCAGTTGGAGGGTGCTCTGGCCGCCCTGGGAGCTGGATTTGTCAGAAGTCTTCATGGGCTGCAGGGCAAACACTTGACCATTTACAGTGATAGTCTGTGGGGTTGTAGGAACTGGTGGAGATGATGAAGCCTGGCTGACAGATCGAGGGTGGTTTACTGATGGCTGAGTAGGCCGAGGGAGGATGTGTACAAGCTGCTTCCCCCCGACGCTTTGTACCGGAGGGGCAGGCACCGGGCTGCTAGTCGTGGGTGTCTGAGTGGAAGCAGCGGGAGCTGCAGCAGGAACCATCCCCACCTGTGGAGTCTGAGGCGCAGATGCAGCCTGACTTGGTGCTTGGATGATTACTATATGCTGACAAGGTGTCTGATTAGTCATCTCCTCTCTCACCACAGGCTGGGATGGACAGGCACTGGCCTGCTGCAGGATCACAAGGCTAGGATTGTTGGTGTTCTGAGAAGCTGTCACACCTGAAGCGGCTGCTGCTGCTGGATTGACCTGTAACACCTGCATGGTCTGAAGGAGAGGCAGCACAGCGGCCTGCGGCTGGGGCACAAGAGCTGGCTGAGGCTGCGAGATGAGGGCTGCAGGGGGGTGAGGAACCAGCGATGCAGGCTGAAGTACAGTGGGCTGGGGCTGCGACACAACAGCTGGGTGTGGTACTAGGGCTGGCTGGGAGAGAACTGCACACTGAGGCTGGTTTGGGACTGCAGGTGGTTTTAGAAGGGTGTGTGTCTGAAGGTGACCTGCAATGGGAGTTTGCTGTACAGGCATGTATGGCTGCATATGAATCTGGATGGGACAAACGGGGGGTTTTGGACATACAGTCACATGTTGCACAGCCTGGGTGGTGCTGCTGACCTCTGGAGGGGGCAGACTCTGGCAAACTGGTTGCACTGTGTTCCCTGTCATCTGCAGTGTTGTCCAGGTAGTCTGTGTGCTGCCTGCAGCTCCTGCCCTAAGGAGGGTTTGAGTGCTGGGGACGGCCGTGTAACTCACAGTCCCGATAGTAGTGTCTGCTGTGACTGAAGAGCAGACCCCTGAAGCAGCTGGTCTAGTTACAGTTTGGGTAAACGTGGCGTGCGACAACACAAGTGGGGCGATGCTTTCGGCGGGATGCTGTGAGGCTGAAGTAGCAGCAATAGCGATGGGCTGAGCCGGGGCAGCAGGCTGCGTTGGTTGGGGTAGGGATGTAGCAGCTGCAGGAATCTGAAGGGTGATGTAAGACACGGACGGTGGCAGAGCGGGGGCTGCGGCTGGCGTCTCAACCACACACTGCTGCTCGATCACTCTCAGAGCAGGTGCAGCCTGACTGGGTGTGGCAGCTGACACTGGGAGAAGCGCAGGGGTGGAGGAAGATGCTTTAACTTGCAGCAGGGCTCCATTAACTCTTACTCCAGCTTCATCTGGTGTTGGAAGAACTAAAGTTTCGGAGAGCCGCTTCACAGGGCTCTTCTGTTTTCCTGCAGGGCGCATCACATTCCCGTTGGAATAAACGACGATCCCCTTTGGGAGCTGGTGAGTGGGGGTGACTTTTGCCACTTTGGCACAGCTCTGCTTGCCCTTCCAGTGGATAGTTGGGTCCTCTAGAAGGCTAATGTCATTAGCTTTGAGGAGCTCGATGTAGTGAGCACTCTCTTTTCTCAGTTCCTCCAACTGACGCCTCAGTCGACGGATTTCCTCCGCTGCAAAGCAAAGACAAAAAAGACATTTTACGTAGCAGACGTGACCAGGATCCTGCTTATTACTGACATTTTTGAGAAGGCGGGTGATGTTTTACTAATAAACACGCAATAATACTTTCCAAGACACAACAAAGACGTGACCGTCTCATTATCTGAGAAACTGCAGATTTTTTGCACCTTGTTACTCAACATTACCTTGTACTTTATCCCCACTTTCCAGAAGCAACGTATCATTTTGCTTCTTCAGTTCAGTGATGTAGCGAAAAGCTTGGTCCAATATATTGTTCTTGCTCTGTGAAGATGTTAAGCAAGAAATTATGTGTTATATTTAAATAGGCACTAGATTAATGCTAATTAAACAAAGACAGCTGGTTTCTTACCTGTTTAAGTGCCTGGGAACAGGGCAGAAGACTGCCAATACGATTGATCCCTGCGTTAATTTTCTCTTTTCTGTGTCGTTCAACTGCACACACACACACAAGCACACACAGCCATGCATGCACACGGATATTATTCTTTAAAATAAAACTGAGAAATGATGTTGTGATGCATAATTTTTTAACACTTTACTTTCAACAAGGCGATACTGTCTTGTAAGCATTACAAATGTTTCACTGGGCTTTTTGGGGGTCTTTACTGCTTTATCACTCTTAAAGTTCACTATTTACCATTTGCCTTAGCAAAAGGATGGAGAACAACAAACATGTCAGTCTTCAAGAAAAAAAAGATGTATTTACCTGCATTATGAGATTCCTTGTTTTTCTTCTTTCTAAAATTAAAGAAATTGAATTTAGTTTATAACTTCTGACACGTTTGTCCTGCTGATTCATATGTATTAATCAATTTCCCTCTGGGATTAATAAAGTATTTTTTGAATTGAATTGAATGTAATAAACTGAGCATCCTTACTTGGGCTTGCGACCAGGTGTTTTTTGTGTTTCAGTCATCTCTGGCATCCTGTATTAACAGTTGCCTGTGTGATCAAAGGTACCAGTAAGCGCATTCAGCAGCTGGACCTTAAGCTCCTTCCGTGTTCGTCCTGCAAACAAAACATAGAGCTTTTAAATCGACATTAAACATCGATGAAACAGCTGTTAAACTAGGCTTTGCAGCCCACCATGCTAACATGCTAGTGCAGACCTAAACTCGTTAACCTTTACATTTCAGGAAAGTGTAGCTTGTTTGGCCTAACGCGTAGTTAATCATTTTACTTTAACGTTTCCACGTCGACAACAATCGATGTTAAAATATTTATTTTATCACTTAATAAACTACAAAGTAGCAACCCGAGCAATAAGCTTTATATTAGCCACTTAGCAAGCGGCTATCTGAGCTTACCGTTAACTACGTGATTAAGCTAATAAAAAGCGAAATCATTCGCATCTCTTCTTATAAAACGATGGTAAATAAGATAAGTGTCCACCAACCTCTAATCTCAGCATTTTGAAGATTGTATGTTGAGGTAAAAACTTAAACATCGGATGCTAAGTATTAGCAAGAAATCTCAAAACAAATCCAGATACACCTAACCCCGTGCTGAAAGGGCGGGTTTTCCGGGAGGTCGCAGCCAATAAGATTTGCAGTTTGACAAGCATCAACCAATCAGAACACAACAATGTTTGCCTGTATTTTCATCAAGTGTGAAACAAATTAGTCTAAACAAACTTTTTTTAATTGAAATTTTTAACATTTCAGGCCCTTTTGGTTAAAACTAGGTGTTTGTGTTGCAAATAATGAAAACAAAGGACAACCAAAACAGTTTTACTGCAAATAGTAATTCCTTTATTTAGACGTTAAAAAGTCTTACAATATAGAGCTCCAGAAAAGATAAAATTCTCCAAAAGAAAAAAAAGGGGGGAAACATGCGCAAACTACAGTGGAGAAGACAACTCTCCCTGCATGCGGGGGGAGTCAGAGCTTCTTCTGGGTTGTTAAAGAGAGCCTTCTGGTTCTTTAGCTGAACTTTAACATGTTTTGTTGAGGGCGTTAACAACAGCAAGCTGGTGCTGTAGGTCTTAGACCAACTTAATAGATGGCTACATTAGGTGCTAAAGGTGTTGGAGGCATCGTCTTTAAGACAAACACACTCACAACTGTAGTATACAATCCCCAAAATAATGCCCAAATCAAACCCTGGATCATTAGAAACTCAGCAACATTAGGACTTTAATTGAGCTCCTTTAGCGGTAAACCCAGGGGAACCTCTGAACCTTTTACCACCATGAAAAATAAACATCAGCTGAGAGAATTAAATTACCAGGCCAGAAACCAAAACTTCACTGGAAATTTAGTGGTGACCTTGTTTTCCCACCACCTCGAAACCATTCAACCTTCCTGGTGTCCTTACCAAAGGAAACTTCCCGATCCTCCTGCACAAACTGGTCGGACTCACTTTCCATGAATCCCAGGGCTCAGGTGGTGTTTCATGAGAACACTCCACCCACACCCGATCAGCCTTTACTCCTCCAAACCCTTTCCTTTTGATATAAAACACTTATGTCCCCCACTAGGTATCATAACAGCATAAAAACAACTCAAACACAAACAGTGTGACTCGCAAACAACATTCCCACCCATCACCGAGTGTAAAACTCTCTAAAATTTGGCTTTTTGTCATTAGAACCAATTTCAAACAAAGTTATTGTCAAATACTCCTGTGAGAATAAAGGGAACAATTAAATATGCAAAAATCACCTTTGCAAAACTGACTGCAGCAATTTTTATGTGTGAAACTCGTTTTCTCTTTCTAGCGTCCTCTGGAAAAACTGTTGAGGGTGTGGCCCACAGGGCGTTTGCACAGTTCTGTTTCTGTGTTGGGGAGGGGGGGCACATTTGTGCTCAACCCCACCCACACGGTGCTGCACCCTCTACTCGGCCTTCTGGAGCTCGCCGCTGGGTGGTGCACACGGACTGCGCAGGCTCTTCTGCAGCACATGGGCGTCTGCAGGCTCTATCCTCTTGTAGTAATTCTTTTTTGTCTCGATGATCTCAAAGCCGAACTTCTGGTAAAAGTCGATGGCTGACTCGTTGCTGATCTGAACATGACTGCAGGAGCGGCAAAGCAGGAGTTTAGTTACTGGAAAGTACATTTGGAAAAAACATCAAATTTATCCCTTCAAGCAGCAATTCAGAGTTTTTCCCCATTCAGGAATTACGCAAGTTATTTAAAAAATCCGTAAAGGTGATAATCTTACGCTGTACCGTGATAAAGTGTAGGCAATGCATCTTTTTATTTTGCTAAGCCCCCCGTCCCGTAGAGCTCCGTGTAATTTGAATAGAGCGTCGCTCCACATTAGCCAATAGCGTTAAACATTTTCTTATGTACAGATGTCAATCACAGAGTCTGCACATGTTTGCAGCATTACCAAGACTGATGCAGAGTTGACAACATTTCTTTTGAACAAGTAACTCTTAAAAATATGAAAAGGGCGGGCAATAGAACGATACCAAAAAAAAACAACAACTTTTCCCCGATAGACATGAGATCTGGTGGCAGGAATAGAGACAGACAGTAGCAGCTAAACACGCTAACAGCTAATGTCTGTGTAGCTTTGGCCTCCTACTGCAAGTAGGAGGTAGAAGAACATGGCCGGTAAAAATATTTAAAAAACGAGCGTCCCGCAAAAGAAGGAAAAGGAAGGGGAACGATGAATGACGTTGACCGTAAGGGACAAAACCGTTCAGCCTTGTTGACGTATTTAGGCTAGTTAAAGCTGCTTCTGGAGTTTTCGCCTTTCAGAAATGATGTATGGTTTTTAAGACATCTGTAAAAGCGATTGTCTCATCATGTGCTGTGATAAAATGTAAGCAATACAGCATTTTTTTTTTTTTGCTAAGCACACCCCTGCCTCGCAGAGCTCTGTGCAATAGGAAACTGAGCGTTGACCAGAACTAACCAATAGCGTTAGACTACTTCCTTCAAATTTAAGGAATACCTCGCCTGATGCAGAGCTGATGAACTTTTCACGGACAAGTAAGTCTCTAAAATATAAATATATGAGAACACAGCATGACATGAGAATAATACTCGTAAAACGTGTTTTAGCTGTCTGTCGGCTACAAAAGCACATTTGTAAACAGAAACGTGAAGTCGCCCTCTTAAAAAAACAGAGCAACAGATTTTTTGTGTGATATGCTTGTCAGCCACTAGATGGTGCCATCGGATAAGAGAAACACTCCGGAAAGAAGCTTTAATGTCGTAGCTGCACCGCTAATTACGTCGAGAGCAGGTTCAGGCCAAAGTTGGGGAAAACCACCGATCCACTTCAACTGAACTGAACAACCACCAACTGGAGCGAGAGGATGTAAACATTTATCATCACGGACAAGAGCGAGTGTGAATTAGGGAGAGGGGCTTAAAGAGATGATGTGTAGTTTGTGCAAAAATATTGGCGGCTATAACCATAAAACTCTGGTCTAAAATACATGGGAGCGGGACTAAGCCATGTTTCCTTCTACGGGAACCCACAAGGTCAAAATTCATTTTCTGAATTGTGACAAGCGGTTACAAAACTTTTGCCATTCATAAAATTGCGGTTTTACACATTAACCTCTTTACTCATTGCCAGTGATGAAAGAAAATCTGATGTGCTTTTGGTTTTGCTGGAGGATGAACGATCTGATGGAGTACTTGTTTGAAAATTGCGCTCCCTGGGATTTTGACCCTAATGGCCATCCGTTGTTAAGGTCTTACTCAAACAAAAATACAACTTACTTGCAATGATTTAGGTATGTACTGCCCCCTATTGCTAGAGATAATACACACCACCACTTTAGGGTGCGATATATTTTTCCACCTCTAGATGGCACCCTCCAAGAAAAAAAACTCCAGATTTCTGCTTAAAAGTCAAGAAAAGTGAAACTGCCACCTTTCAGAACTGAATATTCAGTGTGTTGTGTTAAAACCGCTCTTATGTCCAAAGTTTCTCCAACGTCTCATGAGCTGAAGTATTTTATAAACAATCACATCACCATCCTTTTAGTAAAGCCTGGTTATTTCTGTAGAAATATATATAAAAGACCTGCTGGATGAAGTGGAAAATCTATTTCTGATGCTGGTGATGTTTACATGTAAGTAACCGTGTAATGCTAAATCTATGGTGGTGTAAATGTTTACATGAATATTTATAGATTGGAGCAGAAACACACTTTTGTATAACAGGTGTGTGACATTCAGGAAGCTAATAAACCAGCTACTGAGTAATCAGTGCACCCCTGTTAAAAATATGGGCTTATTTGAGTTAAAACATGTCCTGCTCAAAGGCACTTACAGGTAAATGTTGTCAAAAGTGCCATCCTTCTCACAGATGGTCAGCACATGATTAAGCATTTTTGTACCTAAAGGAAAACAGAAGGACGACTTTAGAAATAACAACCAAACACGATTCTCAAAGTTTGAGGAACAGAACGCCGTACCGATTCCAAGTCTACGATAGGGTGCTAGACAACCAAGTGTCATGATGTACAGCCTCTTCTGGTTCTGAGAGTGGTCCACTCTGCAGCACACGGCTCCGACTGCAATGTCATTAAAGTACGCTGGAGAGACAAAAGGAAACTGATGATTTCCAAACAGATGAACGCAGACATTTAAAAGTTAATTTAATTGGATTTTTCAGTAAAAAGGACTTTTCATGTACATGACTGATTTATTGCTATAACAACCAGAATCAACCTCATCTGATGTGTGTGTTTTTAAAGGTAATCAGTCACAAATGATCTGAATGCAACTTGAATCATTTTTTCTCACCTAGCTTTGCGAGCTCCCCCACTTCCAGTACATCTTTGTAAAATTTGTCGTTGTAGCTGACAGGGAAGATGACTTGGTTCAGGCGTTTCAGTTGCTTTATGTTGTGAGGCGTAACGTCCCCCAGCTCGATCCGGCTACTGGAACAAGAGCAAAACGGTCAAATGGCTGACGACAGGTGCACAAATGAAGCCAAGGTGCCTTTTAGATTGAAGAGGGATCATTTGGTGTCGTAGTATCTTCCAAAAACACTAAAATGCTTGAAATATTTTGTTACGTGTCACTGCAGAAGTATTCAGACTTTGAGATGCACTTCAAAAACCAGCTGGTGATCAGAATGAATCAATATTTAACTATTTAAACTCAAAAACTGTATTTTTTGGTATTTGAAGCAGCATAATAAAATCATACTTTTTCCCCAGGTCTGTGAATGCACCACAGCTAGACATAAACTCACCCTTGGAATAACAATTACTTCGTGTGCACGTTTAGTTTGCTTCCAGAATCATAATTTTCATATTAAAAAAATTTATGTATAAAGTATTTTTTAAATTATAGTTCTTCCAAAACCTGCATCAGCAATTCAAAGCTGCACAAGTCAGAAATCATTTTCAGCTTTCAAACCTAAAATCAGTGCATCTCTTGCATAAAAGATAACTGAAAATTCTGAAGTGAAATGTTTTAGAAGCATCACTTTTATGTTTAAATCCGCAGGTAAATTTTCATGCTTGAGAATTAACCTTAACATTAACATACTCCTGTGTTTCAGGGTAATTTCCCCCCATATATTAGTATTACCTTTGCATAATTTGTTGCAAAAACAGACAAGACTGGAGGAAAAAGGTGGTGGCAAAGACTAGACTTAAAAATAACGATTTAGCTCTTTACCAAGTAAAATAATGTTACGCCAGTTAGGATCAAGTCATGTGACTCAATCAGGTTTGTTATAAGCAAACATCCATTCTCTTGGTCTAGCAAAGGAGTTCAGTCAGTGTAGTATTTATAGGACCACTTGTATTTCCAGAAAGCTGAAAGTCGCGTGATGGAGAATGAAGAATGAAATCCCACCACGGTGATTAAACAAAGCCCGGCTTCAATAATGCTCATGGGGATTTAGAATAAGACAACAGACATTAAAGTTATGTTGTAAATCACATCTTGGTACTCTTGACAGATCAAGTTACACTAAAGGAAGTTAGCACAGACTCTGAGGTTCAGAGTGAAGCACTTGGAACTTTCTAACTTGACATAAATCGAATCTGCAGCTACTTCCCTGATTTAGTTAAAAGGTTTTGTGCAGCAGAAGTTCACAACAAACAAAAATCTCCATAGATTTGTGTCTGTGCTTAGCTTAGCTTAACGGGGTTTACTGACTCAGCTCTCACAGGCACCTAACTGGTTAGCCTAGCTTAGTTTTCGATCTGAACGAAACTAAAAGCAGCTTTAGGTCAGACCTGTCTCAACAAAGCTGCTCCAATGACTGAGCTGTCGTTCGTGTTTCTGACTGAACGCTAAATAAAATCAGCTTAGCGCGCTAGCTAACCTCGTCGTGTCCAGCCCGCCTCCCTTGACCTGAAAAACTTTACTCAAGCTAAGCTACATATTCGTGACACAAAAAGCTTAAACTCACCCTTTCATTTTAAAAAGATAATATCCTTATTTACGGTTGGGTTTAACTTTAGCGATGTTTCTGGTAAAAGATGGGAATTTTGACAGAGTTAGGGTCGGGGATACCTCCCGTTTTACCCTCCACATGTAGCTTAGCCTCCACACTTCTACCACGACTGTGTCAACCCTGACGGACGCATGCGCACAAATGTTGCATGTGGAAGGCAGTTGTAAAATATAATTGTTGTTGATGAAAGAACCATTAAAATATAATTGTATGATATTTCAAAGTATCTTCAAAGTAAATAAGGGAGATTTTTGAAACACAATGTTATTTATGGAGTCTAAAATAATGTCAGAAACATCTGGTATAGTTTTTAATTGTAGATACTTACAAAACAATTTATGTCCATTTAAAACGCAATTGTATACACCTGTAAGTCGCAATAATAAAATAATATAAAACCTCGTCATAAGAATTTGGGCGCGCCTGTATTTGCGCGCGCGCGCGTGTGTGTGTGTGTGTGTGTGTGTGTGTGTGTGTGTGTGTGTGTGTGTGTGTGTGTGAGAGAGAGAGAGAGAGAGAGAGAGAGAGAGAGAGAGAGAGAGAGAGAGAGAGAGAGAGAGAGAGAGAGAGAGAGAGAGAGAGAGAGAGAGAGAGAGAGAGATATGAAATCCCAGTAAGTCTAAAGTGACATAATCTGTGTTAAATAGGAAACGTGAACTCTATGAATTGATCATTTTGGATAAAAAATTAAACCACCCTGTATATTAAATGGTACGTTAGCTTGACATACAGTTCTTTACTTTTTATCCGGATTACAGTAGTTCTCTTTTTCTTTTATCAAAGTGTAGATTTTTTTTAGCAACTACTGTAAATTATGATGAAAATTGAACTATTTTGATTGGGGAGCTTAAGATATAACCGAAAAGTTAAAAAAAGATCACGTCATGAAGACAGAATAAAGTATAAATAAAAATTTTTAAAACTTTTTTAGAATTATAGACATTTTATAAGTGGTAACGTTTTAATTAATAAACCAAACAGTATAAAAAAAAGTTTTATACTGTTTAGTCAAAGTAGTGGATAATCTTCGTACAATAGAAGATCTTTGCTGTAGTTCCGGGGCGGATCCAAAATGGCGTCTGTTGCGAGGGCCCTGCAGTAAAAAAATTCGAGGCGGTAGAGTGAATGAAGTCAGCTGACCTCAGGCCGCTGTCACGCACCGCAGTATCAGCCGCTTCTCTCTCGAGGCAGAACGCAAAACGGACACTACACGACTTGACGGTAAAAAATGTTAATTTCTACCTCTTCTTTTGTTTACACCGAGGTTAAAATAGAACCGTTTTGGTTTATTTTTGCGGTAAATCGGCAGAGGCAGCAGTTTTTTAAGACAAGGCCGACAGCAGTCTTGCTATCATTTTCATGATGTATTTGCCTACACAGTTAGTTAGCTAACAGTGTTTTTAAGGTAACGGGCTGGGATAAACTACGATGTCTATGGCTTGTCCTTTGTCAATAAAGCTAGGTTTTTCAAAAACGTCGATTAAACCTGTCAGATGTTCCTGAAAATCGACCAGCAGCATTATAGACGCAAATTCCTATTCGGCTCTTCAGTTTGGACATCAACTAATCACAAATACTGACACGATCTGTTTTAAAAACAACAGAAAAACACAATCATCTTTACCTGAATACATTTTCGTTCAGCCTGCTGTCATTTCCTGCGTGGACAATTTCTGATTGATGTAATATTTGAGTATTTTTCTCATTTATTTCATGTTCTAACAGTTTGCATAGTTTCTTATTTGCATGCATAACTGACAAAAAATCAAAACAGAACTAACTTTGCAATATGCTTCCCCATTTTTCCCCACCAACCTCCAATTAAAGACAGAGGTCAAAATGCAATAAATAAATTCCATTACCCAGACCTCTGTTGACAGTGTAATTATATAGGAATAACCTGCCTTTGTTGTGATTCTCACTCATTTTCAGGGAATTGTTGTGAGATGGAAGAGTGTCTCCAGAGTTTCCACACACCATCTTAATTTGTACTTCCCACTTTTGCACCATTTTCCACTTCCTTAAAGACTGGTGGAGTGTGGAAAGCCGGTCATGTGCCAAGATCATATGATCAAGTGACCGTCCACAACTCCGTCACATAAAATCATGCAAAAGGCAGAACTGACTCAACTGAAACATGACTTAAATCTAGTTTAAACTGCAATTTTCGAGGTTTATTAAGGTTAGTACAGTGTTGATGTAATAGAAGACTTATTCCAAGGTTGTTATTTGAACATTTTTAGAATTCAAACTATATTATTTAAATTTTATGTGATTTTTAACGTTAAATTCAGGCACATTTTACGTATAAACACTCATCCTGTGATGTGTGACGTTAGCTGGTGTGTCCGTGGGCTCATGAGCTCAGTTTATCTTGAAGTTTGAATTATGAGTGAGAGTTTTTGGGGGTATCCTTGTTGCAGTTCTGCTGCTGATCTTATGGTGGAGCTGCACCGATGGATTGGGCAGCCTGGCGTAGACAGGAAGATGTGTGCATCGGTGGGAAGGGCACGAAAAGGACAGAGAGCAGGGGATCAGCATCAGTAGGTGATGAAAGTGTTCTCATGCTGGTGCGATCCAGTAAAATTGATGGAGGCAGAATGTAACACGTGAAGCTGAATTCTGCTGTGCGCAGAGCATGAGCAGACACCTCAATGGGGGGATGGGTTTGAGTCACGACGGCTTGAGCTCCAGCTGCCTGCACACTATTTGTGCATCACCGGATTTAGGACAAATATGCAGATATTCCAGATTAATGACAGAAATCTTATTTAATACTGGGTTCAGATGAACTTCTTGATAGTTTTTATTTATTTGGTCCAAATATCAGCTAAAAGTCGTTTAAAACTGAAAATATCTGCAGGGTGATTGGTGCTCGGTGTGATCAAAATAAAACTAAAGCACATTTACATAAAACACACATTTTTCCTTGATGTTGTGTTATCTTAGATCATAGTCAGGCAGCCGCTGCTGTTATTCTTCTCTTTCCAGTTGCATTACTAACCTGTGAGGATGGACCTGTCTAAGCTGCCGAAGATCAGAGACGAGGAGCGAGAGAGTCAGTTTGGATACGTTCATGGCGTCTCCGGGCCAGGTCGGTCACCGTGTGTTGTATTTGTGCTATACCTGTTTTGCTCCAAAAACATGGCGTCTTTTGAACAATTTTATATGTGTGATTGATGATGATATTGTTTCCAGTGGTGACGGCGACGGCCATGGCCGGAGCGGCCATGTACGAGCTGGTTCGTGTCGGCCACAGCGAGCTGGTGGGGGAGATCATCAGGCTGGAGGGAGACATGGCCACCATCCAGGTCTACGAGGAGACGTGTATCCTTTCAGCTAAGATATGGCTGTTTTGTTTTTCTGGTGGTTAAAGGGAAAATATGCAGTTTTGACTTGCTTTTAGCACCCCGTAGAGTGTTGTAAAACTGAAAGTGAAACCCTTCGCTGTGCGTTCGTCTTTTTAACACCTTAATCTAACAGCTGAAACGTCTCCTCAGCCTTCATTAGTGTCTACAGGAGCGATTCATCACTAAATTAAACAAATCATCTGTGTTCATGATCTAGAACATGCAGGAAACCTGCTGGAACTAGACGTGTCAGCTCCACTTTACTAAGACTAATAAGGACCAGACAGGATACTCTGAAGTTGCAAGTGTGGTATTCTGGCCACAGGGGGTGGTGGGGTCTTAGTGACTTCACAATAACCCTGTAAAGGGTCATTTTAGCACATACTGGCTCAATAAAATAACAAAAAGGCCGCATAGTATGCCTTTAAAACTTAAACAAGCCTCGGTGAAAAGTCTTTTCCTGAGTGTGACGTTAGCTGGTGTGTCCGTGGGAGACCCTGTTCTGCGGACAGGGAAGCCTCTCTCCGTCGAGCTGGGCCCGGGAATCATGGGCTCCATCTTTGATGGTATCCAGCGACCCCTGAAGGACATCAACGACCTCACACAGAGCATCTACATCCCCAGAGGAGTCAACATCGGATCTCTGAACCGAGACCTGAAGTGGGAGTTTTCTCCTTGCAAGAGCCTGCGGGTACGAGTCGGCAGGCGCTAGGATTTCACCCTGAAATCACCGCACGGAACATTTACCATGTCCTTTTCCTCTCCGTCAGGTCGGCAGTCACATCACAGGAGGAGACATCTATGGGATGGTCTTTGAGAACTCCCTCATCAAGCACAAAATCATGCTGCCTCCCAAGAACAGAGGCACCGTGACGTATGTGGCTCCTCCCGGGACCTACGACCTCTCCGTGAGTTCAGCAGCCTGCAGCTCTACGAGCAGCTGCTAGACGGAGCTTTGAATGTTGCGTGTCTCTGTGTCAGGATGTGGTGATGGAGCTGGAGTTTGAGGGCATAAAGGAGAAGTTCACCATGGTGCAGGTGTGGCCCGTCAGGCAGGTGAGGCCCGTCACAGAGAAGCTGCCCGCAAATCACCCGCTGCTGACCGGACAGAGAGTGCTGGACGCCCTTTTCCCGTAGGTTTCACCTTCCTCCTTTCAAACACGGTGAAAAGGTTGTCCCTGTGTGTTGAAGAGCTCTCTTCTCTGTGAAGATGTGTGCAAGGAGGAACCACAGCCATTCCAGGAGCCTTTGGGTGTGGCAAGACCGTCATCTCCCAGTCTCTGTCCAAGTACTCCAACAGCGACGTGATTATCTACGTAGGCTGTGGGGAGCGTGGGAACGAGATGTCAGAAGTGCTGCGGGACTTCCCCGAGGTGAGTGACGGGGTTTATCCTTACTCTAGGAGAGCTAAGCTAATCCTCAGGGTGACTGACGGTGCTACGTCTCCATCAGCTAACCATGGAGGTGGACGGAAAAACGGAGAGCATCATGAAAAGAACGGCGCTGGTGGCCAACACCTCCAACATGCCCGTGGCTGCCAGAGAGGCCTCCATCTACACCGGTACGCTGGCAAAAATATCCTCTCACCTCAGCGAAGAGGAACACACCAGAAAATGTGTTATTTTTGTGTGTTTTATTTATTTGCAGGAATTACATTGTCGGAGTACTTCAGAGACATGGGCTACAACGTGAGCATGATGGCCGACTCCACGTCCCGTTGGGCCGAGGCTCTCAGGGAGATTTCAGGCCGTCTGGCTGAGATGCCCGCCGGTACGTAGAAAGTCTTCTGGAGATTTTAACTAACTGCTAGCTGGGTATGTGGGACGTATGACACCAGTAGCAGTCGCGATGATGGAATTTCAAGCTTTTTTAATCTAATTTTGTTCGCATTTTAATCACCAACTGCTCCAAAAATGGTGCAGTTCACATTCTGAATCAACGTTAATATTTTTTGTCCACAGACAGCGGCTATCCCGCCTACCTGGGAGCCCGGCTCGCCTCCTTCTATGAGCGAGCTGGAAGGGTTAAGTGTTTGGGTAACCCAGAGAGAGAGGGCAGCGTCAGCATCGTGGGAGCGTGAGTGAACCTCTGCACCACTAGAGGGAGACATTCCTCTGATGTTTTTAGTACTTTTAACCGAGTTTGCTCTCTCATCAGCGTGTCGCCTCCCGGTGGTGACTTCTCTGACCCCGTCACCTCAGCCACACTCGGTATCGTTCAGGTAAAGGATGAAACCTCTGGTCCAGATGTTACTCCTAACAGAAAAGATCTTTTTTTTCTTACTTAAGCGATTGGTGTCCTCTTCTCCCAGGTGTTCTGGGGTCTGGATAAGAAGCTGGCTCAGAGGAAGCACTTCCCTTCCGTCAACTGGCTCATCAGCTACAGCAAATACACTCGAGCTCTGGATGAATACTATGACAAACACTTCCCGGAGTTCGTGCCCCTGCGTATCAAGGCCAAGGAGATCCTGCAGGAGGAGGAGGACCTGGCTGAGATCGTGCAGCTCGTTGGAAAGGTGCACACATTTTTTAGATGCATCCCTAAAGTCTTGAGTCAATTTGCATGAATAAATAAATAAATGACTTTTGTTCGGCAGGCCTCGTTGGCAGAAACGGATAAAATCACACTGGAAGTGGCCAAACTCATTAAAGACGACTTCCTGCAGCAGAACGGTTACACCCCTTATGACAGGTGAGACGCTTTTTCTGATGATGTGAAAGAAAACTGAAAGTGCTCATCCGTATTTTATTATAAAAAACCGGTTTTGTCCTCCCAGGTTCTGTCCCTTCTACAAAACGGTAGGAATTCTGTCCAACATGATAGCGTTTTACGACATGGCGCGACACGCGGTGGAGACCACGGCTCAGAGCGACAACAAGATCACCTGGGCCATGATCAGGGAGCACATGGGAGAAATCCTCTACAGGATCAGCTCCATGAAATTCAAGGTCAGTTGGACAGATCGTGTCTCCACGAGTCGTCGTTCGGTCAGATTTCAGGTGAAGTTGCTATTTTAAAGAGCAGATTCAGAGAGAAATCGTTTTTTACTCATTTTTTTAAATATGATCGGTCACTTTGAGTTTCACATGCAGGAGGAACGTGAAAATAGTCTTTACCCATATTGGCTACATTGGTCGCAGAAAGAGAAAAGACGCTCGGATTAGAAAAATCACACAGATCTACATCTTAATGAAAAGTAGCATTCATGGACTGACCCATCTTGGCTCATGGCGGTAGAGCGTGTGAGGGGTGGGGGGGTGGCGCATTCCTCTAATCACTTTTAGGGGTGCTGGGGTTCACTTTCACCCCGACCTTTCAACCAAATTTATGTCCTTGAACGAGTGAGTAGCCTGCATGATGTAATTATAAACATAAACCACAATTAGCTCCATCCAAAGGCACAGCAGGAGGTGAGAATCATGACTATGAACAATCAAATATATTTATTATTAAGACTGTCATGTTTCAGCTCCACCAGCAGATGTCGCTATGTAAAGCTGAGTAAATGAAGCACTGATGAACCTTTTGGTGAAGTAATGTGCTGCTTCATGAGTCTCCATTTGGCCATCACTAGTAGAAGCTTACCGTTAGCATTAGCAGCACCACCACTTGGCAGAACTCATTCAGGATTGTGTTGTTTGCGGAGATAAAACAACAACGTTGCAGAGCGAACTGAGTCAGTGGTAGAGCAAGTTACTCCTAGCCAATCAGAGGCGAGATGTCCAAATATCAGGAAATAAGATCCCAAATTCTGCCGTCCCCCCCTGGACTAACTTCTTCTTCCTGAAATTAAGTGCCAGAGCTTTTTTTCCCCACATAGATCGACTCAAAAGACTTTCATTTCTACTAGATTACTGCAGATTTATTGAGAAAATGAAAGCAGACGCAAAATTTCCCAAACATGAATACATTCCTGAATGTAAGGTTGAGCTGCAGATCTCATGATGTATTCGCTCACCTGCAGGACCCGGTGAAGGACGGCGAGGCCAAGATCAAGGGCGAGTACGCTCAGCTCCTGGAGGACATGCAGAACTCCTTCCGAACTCTGGAGGAATAGGCTCCCTCTCTCCCAACCAGCATCTCCATGTTCCATCTCTGGACCCTTCCACCACAGAGCACATTCCACCTCTGTATACTCCTTCTGCGATCCCCCCTCCCTCCCTCCCTCCCTCCCTCCCTCCCCCGTGCTCCCCTGTTGTTGACCGTGAGAGTGTATGTGTGTGAAACTCGACGTGGAAGGAAAAAGAGAAAGATGTACTGTATTCATTCTTCTTTGCTGCCTCACACACACACGTTCTCTGGGCCTCCTGCGTGTCCACAGACGTGTGTGTGTGTGTGCAGGTGTGTGTGGTGATTTAATGCCTCGTCTCTTCCTTTCTCCGTTTACATGATTCTTGTGTAGTTGTGTTGCTTTTCCTGAAGAGGATCTTTCAGCCGATGTGATTCATCGGCCATCTGTACAGAAGAATATAAATTTAATAAGATCAAGTCTATTTATTGCCGGTGTTTTGACGTAGAGGCTCTCTCTCTCTTTTGTTGTTGTTTTTATGGTGAACTTCAGGCTGTGCCGTGTTGTGTACTTTACCGCGTGAATGTGTAAGAGTCAGACTCTGCTGTCCATCTGTTTCATCATGTTACTCTCAAAGAATTAAAACACCGCAGAGACAAAAGCAACAAGGCTGATGGTGTTTGTGAAACCTAATTGTGATGGAGCTGTTGGAGCTGTTGAACTGGTATCTCCGCATGACGTAACACCCCAGGATACATCATCGGCTGCAGGGCTAAAAATAGAGTAAAGCGCCTTTAAACTACTTTAATGACCGTTTTTCTTTTAATTGAATGCTTTCAGTTAATAAATGCATGAATGTTAAGTGTTCGGATTGCTAAAGTGAACACATTTTAAATGATATAGAAACGTAGATTGCCTGGTAGAAGTCAGCGACGACATCCTCACAAATGACAAACCCTGGAATGTAACTCTGTCCTTTTAGAGATTAGTGGAAATAAGACGCAGGGGTTAATTTTGGAGCCTTGAACTGGTTTCTAATGGCTGATGGGCGTCGTCAGAGCGGTGACAACTCCCAGCAGGTATGCTCCCCTGCAGGATGAGATGCACCTGCTGTAACAAGGCAGCCGAGGAGCACATTTAGGAGCTTCAGAGCTGTCGGACACTTTTCTTTTAAGCTGATTTGGGTCAACGGCGGAAACCCTGGGTCCTCTCCGAGTCAGGTGAGTGACCGATAACTCCAGCAGCATCTGGAGACTTCAACTGCTGGGACAAAAACCTGCAGGTTTAGATGCTCGTTTATTCTCTTTGGGAAGCAGTTTATGGTTAAAATTAACGGATAGGTCAAAATAAAGTGTTATTTTTCCATCTTGAATGATATAAACAAGTGAAGGAAGGTTTTCTGGTCAGCCTTGTGACTGACCTCAACCTAAACTCCTGGCAAACCAGTTTAGCTGCAGTGATTCTGACCTTTAAGATTCCTGCTTGTTAGAAAATGTTGATTTATATTTTATTATGTCCATGTTTTCTTAAAGTTGAAGTGTGGAGCTCAAATACATAAGAATATAATGGTTTTTGGACAATAACTGAGCTTAAATCCTGATAATCTGAGAGGAAGATTAGAGAAAGTTTATTTCAATTTAAAACACTTGATTAGTGTCAATTTTAACACTTCATCAGGGATTTGAGATGAACCATAAAAACATTCAGCAGGAATTTAAAATCTTATCTTTCCAGACAAAGAAGTTCCAGGATGTTCTTTTAAAAATCTGCTATCCCCAAATTATTGCAAGTTTAGAGTTTTGTGCAGCAGATGCGTACGTGACACGTTGAGACTTTGGGGGGTAAAGGTTAATCTGGATGTCCAAACTAAGGTGGGTCTTCCCACTCCCTCCTGCTTGCTCCCCAGCAGCCCAGCAGAACCCATGGACCAGGTATCAAACCGGTCCGGAGTGGGGAGTGATGACATCACAGATGAATCTGCATCCCTGATGGACTTCAAACTCAGCTCAGATGAAGATGTAAGAATAAAACCGAACTCTTTAGTCTAATCTAAAAGAAAACTGCACCCGTCATTCTTCTAATCCCTTTTTAAACCTTCCACTGCCCTCTTGTGGTTCAGATAAACTACAAACATGGACGTCTCAGATGCATCTTCTCAAACCCACTTCTGTTTTTCACTTTGAATCATATTCACACCTAAAATATCTTAATTTCCCCCTCAAAAAAGGGAGAAATGTGGTGAAAATGTTTATTTATTTCCTGTGCATCAGTAATAATCAGGTTTTCTCCATCAGAGCTCTGATAATCAGGGTACGTGTCTTGCGGTGCCTCAACCTCCTCTGCAGAGCTACAAACTGAGGTTGGAGGAGTTTAAGAAGCTGTTCAAAGAAATCCCAGAAATGCTCATATTGGGTGAGTCATAAGTATTTTGTTTTGTATTTGGGGAGAAATATTTTTCCTCCTGCAAGTAAATCAAACCACTAAAACCCCTGATTTGACAAGTTCTAACTTAAAATTACTTTCTATTCATATCCCCCCCACGTTCTAGAATGAAGAGCAGTTGTTTTACCCTCTACATGTTTTCTCCTCAGACTATCCATGTGCCCTCCACCGGGACATTCTTCTCCAGGGACGCCTCTACGTTTCGGAGAACTGGATCTGTTTCTACAGTAATGTGTTTCGTGGCACAAAGGTAATGAGACTGTGGGGAGGAAGCTGCTGCAGCATTAATTCTTGCAACAGTGTTATCATGATTTCGTTAGAAATCTGCATTGAACCAAGGATGTATTCTGACGAGCTTTTCACTGAATGGAAAAGTTATTTGTGCTCCCATGTTTTGCACTTTTGAGTGATGTAAGATCAGCCTAATTAAGGATTTGGGAATGCAAAATACAAGCTGGTTTTCTTGGAACAAGCATGCTGAAAAGTGGGAACCATTTGTGGCCCTCTGAGTGATTCTTTTGCACGGCCCTGGAAGTGGTCCCGTCCAGCAGACTAATGTAGATGAACACTTTTAATATTTAGATGTTTACTAATGTGAGGCCTATTTCTGAGGATTACAAATAAAGAACTCAGAAAGAGTTTAGCTTTTTTTTTTCCAATAAAAAAATATTGTAGTAGTTTATGAAGACTTAAAGTAACACGATTTCTCCACTTCTGCCTCCTACTGGTTGAAACTGGAATTACAACTGTCGTAAACAACCCTGCTGCAGCTAGAGCTAAAAAAAAAAGCTACGTTTGACATCAGCTAACTGATACTAAAATAAATGGCGAATGAAAAAGATCCACGCTGTTGGGCAAGAAAATAAAAACATTACTTACAAGTCCAGTAGCAACAAAGCCAGGTCACCATCTGTCTGCTTTCGAAGCCTCCTCTAAGTCAGGCGTTCGCTGCATTTTGGCTCATTTTGAGTGTTTTTTTCCTCTCATGCAAAAATCTTGAGTTCAGTGCAGTTTTGTGTTGTGTAGTATAAAGGGGGTAACGAGAAGCGATTTAACATCTCACGACCAGCTCCCGATTCAGTGTTTTTCAATTCCAGTCCTCGGGACCCCTGGCCTAGTGAACTAGTTATTTCCTTGCCAATAATATATTTAGTCAGGCTTGCCAGGCTACAGGACCCCTTGTCCTGCATATTTTACACGTCTCTGCTTTCGCACGCCTGATTTACATTTTTGCGTTGCCTCCCTAGCATCAAGTGCTGCAGATGCCTGGTAATCACTCATTTGTGTGGCAGGGAAACACTGGTGTTTGAAAAGGAAAATGGAAAACATTCAGAAGGGGTCCTGAGGACCAGAGATGAACAATCGTACGAATGCATGAATATCAAGCATGTTTGGCAGTTTGCTCATCCCTCATGTGGGTCGCACTGTTGACGGGGCGCTGGAGCCAGATTTCACCAGAACCGCTCACAATGCATGCATCATGTCCGACTTGTGTAAAAATAACTATTTTTAGCATATAGGTTTGACATGTTGCTACCACACATATGGGCCATTCCCATCTGTACCGGGTCGGCCCGGGCCGGGTAGTCCCAGGGGCCACAGCCTGGCCCGGTTGATTCCACACATCCTTGTCTTAAGCCCATGTGGGCTGATTCTACCCACCAATCAGAGGCTTGCTCTAATGGAAGGTGTGAATTTGCTGTCAGCAGTGGGTGTGTTGGCCCTGGTCGGCCTGAAGCAGACCCCCTCGAGAAGAGGGCTGAGAATGAGCCTTGGTTGGCCCGGAAAAATACCAGATATGTAAACAACCTACGCTACCCGGCCCAGGCCGACCCGGTACAGATGGGAATGGCCCATATGTGTGACAAACTGACTAGTGAGGTTTGATTTTCGAGAGTCCGACAATTTAAGATGGAGCTAAATTTGCAGTGTATACCCGTCTTTAGCTCCTTCACCAGTGTATAGGCCATGCTTGTGTTCACCCTTGTTTTAGTTACTCTTGCATTTACTTCCAAAAATACTACTTGTGATTTTATTGATGGTTGGTGAACGGAAAAGGCTAACTGCCGGCATTTATAATAGCTAGCAGAGTAAACAGCTATTGCCCTAAAACCGACCTTTCACTATATGCTCCTACCTGAACCACAAAACTTGTGCAGTTTCAGGTCAGTGGAGGGCTACAGAGGGCGTTCCAGTGTAAAGCTGAAATGTTTAGACGCCTCCTTGCCTTGGACCATACAAGATGATTCTTCACGTTTCTGTATGTTTTTGTAGATCATACTAAATCTAAAGGACATCACGACAATGTCCAGAGAGAAAACGGCTCTATTCATCCCAAACGCCATTCAGATCTGCACGAATACAGAGAAGGTATCTGAGATTAAAAGTTGATCATTTCAGTTATTTTAATATATATTTTTAATGATTTCAATATTTACCTCCTACAGTTCTTCTTCACGTCCTTCTCAGCCAGAGAGAAAAGCTTTAAGGTTGTTTTTTACATGTGGCAGAACACCTTATCAAACAAGGTAAGATAAGTTCACGTGCTTAACCAGTTAAGGAGCTTTATTTATTTAAATATATCTCTCCAAAATGTCAACACTAATAATTTGCATCGGTCATTATACTTGAATCATGAACATTTCCCTGCAGAATACATTCAGGCTGTGCAGAAATCCATGCAGTGCACCAGCAGGTCTTTAAAACTCCTTTATCTAACGGGTTCAGAGTTCACATAAAACCATCTCAACTGCATGCACTCAGCAAAGGTTATCAGTTATGTGCTGCTGCAGGTTTGCTCATGGGTCAGACGGACACAGATTGTTTACTCTTCAATAGTTTGAGGTAACGTGTTTAGAGGAATTAACCCATATGTGGAAAATGAACCCAGCAGAACAGCACTTTCACCTCTAGCCTATAGTTTGTACTCAATGGTGAATGTGGGGGTAAAAGCTCAGGGAGCAACTTTCTAACAAAAGCATTAGGAAATGGGTGTTCCAACAGTTCAAGACAAAAGCCAATCAAGTTGAAAGTCCCCTTGAGCCACACTTGTTGGACTTTATAATGGAGGATTATTTATATTTGTACTTTTTTCCATTTTTATTTTTTTATTTTTTTGTAGGATTGTACTGTCCAAAATAGGCCTTCACCAAGGCAAAGCAGTAAAGAATTGCTGCACTTTGACACTCAGATTGAACATGCCTGCATTAGGAAAAGCTCAGATGAATTTACAAGTTCAAGAACAATTTATAAAGAAAAGAAGCAAAAAGTAAAGGAAATGATAAAAATGTGAGAAATGTTACACTGGAGGAAAATTGCTAAATATCAGAAATATTTAATGTACCAAAGAAGTGTCAAAGGAAATGTTAAAGCTGCTGCCTGTGGCTCATTTGGGTCACTGGTAACCACACCTGTCTCATATCAAAGCTTGGGTGTGCGTATGCTTTACACTCTGAAGGAATCTTGGAAAAAGAAGTCGCAGAAAAGAAACTTATTTTGTTTAAATGTTTTAGATTTTTGTCTCAATGCTTCATGTGAAAATGGATAAATCATGAAGTAGTACCATTATGGGTGTTTCACTGCTTCTACATTAACAAAACACAATTATGTGTCTAAATGAAGAAAGCAAGTTTTTAAATGGAATTTTTAGATTTAATTTAAACCTTTTATTTTCGTTTTTGACCAAGTCTGGTTTGAAACTCATATATTCAGTGAATCCAGTCGGAGAAGTTAATCTAAGAATGTACATTAAGGGTGTTAAATTTGGTTTAAGGCAGGAGGACATATGTGAGAAACCAAAGTGAAACTGGATTAAAATTTAATCTGACGATAAACTGATGCTGAAACTCCAACCAGGAAGGACTTTAACCTTTTTTATGATGTCATCATGACCTCTATATTTGGAGGGCTGTTTCTCGCGAGCTGTTTTCTCAGGTGAGAGACGAGCCGCGTAAACACCTGAGTTCAGTAACCCCTTCAGGTGTGGCTGCGTGGAGACGTCCTCCCTCTGAACGCGCTCTGACGCTGCGCTTGGATCACTCTCAGCGGGGTTGCTCCACATCAACCAGCCGCCACAGAATCGTGGTTTTTCCACTCGGGAAACTCTGCTTCTATTTATTTGTTTTGCGTACGTTTGGGCGGCGCGGCTTTACGCACGAGAACACGGACTTCCTGAATGCGCGGTGCATTCAGGTTACATTTCGGTGAAAGAGCGCACAGCTGTGGAGGCTTGTCCTCTGGCAGGTAAGGAAACTTTCGATTTGAACTGAAACTCGTAAAACCATTTTAAAATGATCTGTCGGAATTGATGAATCTAAAATAAAAAAAAACCCTGTTTTTATTTTATTTGCTTGCAGCTCCAAAAACACTGTTTTCGTTCTAAGCGCGTGCCCACTCGCAGATAATATTGCGTAATTCGAACTGCTTGCGACTGTCAGGGGTTGAATAAATGTAAGCAGTCTCCTGCGACTGTCGGTGTTTGTAGATTATCACCCATGGAGATGAGGCTGAATATACCTGCTGAATGACATTGCCAGGTTACCTGCTGCAGATCAGCAAACGCACCACTTTTCAAATAAAACTCTGATATTTCCACATCCCTCCTCCACTTCTGCTCACATTTCAGCCCCTGAGCCGCCAAGAGTTGTGGCAGATGGTCAGACAGCATTATGGGTCTGAGCTGGGTCTGAGCAATGAAGAGATGGAGAGTTTACAGGTTTCAGCAGAAGTCAACATGCAGACCAGGTAGGCGCACACTCATCCCTTCACTGGGATTGTACCAAAATTATGTCTGGTTTAAAGACTTTAGTCATAATTTATAGGTTTATGATTAATGCAAAACATGTTGAATTTCTTTCCACTAAATCCCTCACATAGGTGATCTCAGTAGTTTAGTTTTTCAATACCTTCCACAATGAGCCGTTTCAGGGCTCTGTGCTTTCAGGAAACTAAGTGGAGCTGGTGGTGGTCGGAGGGGCTGGAGGCACCAGTGTTTGGCAGGCCTCTGTTGGTGCACCCCAGGGCAGCTGTGGCTACATTGTAGCTCATCCCCACCAGCGTGTGGATGTGTGTGGGTGAATGACTGCATTGTAAAGCATCTTGTGGGGGGAGGGGTGGGGCTGTTTCCCCAGCGAGAGCAGCCCTATGGCGCTCAGCCACTGTAGCCACAGGTGGGAGGGAGATCTTGGGAGGAGCACAGAGCACATTGACACCTGCAGGTTGATGACATCGCCAGGCTGAAGTCCACCAATCCGAAGGTGGGGTGGGGGTGGGGGTGGGGGGTTCACAGCATCTGCCCTTCATGGGGGTTTGTTGTTGGCATTCACAAGGCTGCCATGGTGTCAGATTCAGATAACACGACTTTGTTTGGGTCAGGCAGAGATCATTTTCCTCTCTGCCTTGAAGTCTGTAACTGATCATTCAAGTCCTCCAGTGAAGCCAATTCAGGTTTTGAACATCTCCACACCGTCCGGTGACCCTCTCCGAGATGACATCCATTTTGCGCACTAATACCGGTATCGCAGCTCGAACATTGACCAGCTTACGATTCACCGCGAGTAACGTCCCAGTCTGTGAGGTCTCCACACGGACGGTGCATTCCGTGGGTGCGGGTCGCCCTCCAATCACTCCCGTCTTCCCAAATTTCCAGAAAACCAGATATCCTCCCACTCCAATCAGAAGAAATCCAGTGATCATCAGGCCAAATATCCACACATCTTCGACATCCTCAATGGACAACTGAGAGAGGCATACGATCTTCCACTCCCTCCAGGAATCGAGCATATATACCGCTGCGTGTGTCCCTTGCGGGCAAGTGGGACCCCCCTCCTCCATTCTTATCGTAGAAAAAATCTTGTCAATCATGTTGAATGACCAATTAATTAAATCCATTCTAAAAAATAGGGTTTTTCAGAAGAAAGCAGAGAAGCGCTCTGTGGGCAGACAGGACAAAGAGCCTTGGGGAAAAAAGATAAGGGAGCAAAAGCAGAAGCGTCTGTACTCTGCAAGTGCCGGAAGAAGGTGATAAAAACAATAATAATGGTATTAAAAGAAAATTTTGGGGATAAGAGTATTTGTTTAAAAAACAGCTCTGATACCTGGGAGGGGCTTGGAGTAGAGCTGCTACTCCTTCAGCAGCTTTCTCGCCTGTGAGAGGTGGTACTATGCTAATTTCCCCAGTTGAGACATCACAAACGGGGACTTTTAGAAACCGCTTCCTTTAGGCACATAATTCCTAAAACTGAACAGTCAGAAAATGGGTAGATGGATTTTTTTTTTCATGTTTGGAGTGATTAGAGGCAGTGGAGATCCACAAGGCAGTAAGGATAGCTAGACCCTCCTGGATTTTAAATAATTTGTTTATTTCCTGGTTTTCCCTCTGGTTGTCCATCTGTAGTTTTCAGTTGAAAGCTGGTAGTGAAGATGGTTCCAGCAGACTGGAGCGCCCCCACTCTCTTCGCCTTCCAGGGGTGGACCATAGTCCATTAGAGAGCTCCACACCTCAAGGGGAGGACTTCCCCTCCCTTATCAACCCACCAAAGACTAACACGGTAACAAAAATTACATTCATCTCCAGGGGATTTGTTCATTTTTGATCTAACTCTTGTCTCCTACAGGATGAGGCTCGCAACACCCCATCCCAACAGCGCAGTCCTGTTCTATCGTTGGACTGGCTCACCCCAGACCGGATCTCCAAGCGTTCTTCAAACTCTCTGGACCTCAACGCCAATGAGAATGATGTTTCTGAGCACAGCGGCTCAGAAAGCACGGAAGAAGGTAGGACGCTGCAAAGGTGGCCATTTGAGCGTACAATGATGTCTAATATTTTCTTCTTTCAGTGGAGGAGCGAATCAGCCAATCCGAGGCACCGGGTCGCCAAAACCTCAACAGGGTTTTCAACCTCAGTGCAAACAAGATGTTTGATCTGCTCTTCACAGACTCCAGCTTCACTCGCAGGTTCATGAGTATCCGTAAGATAACAAGTAAGGCCTTCTGTTCCACTTCTCACCTCCCTAAAACTAACTTAACTTGATGTTTTCTGACTTGGACATCTTTTTGTGTTTTTAAGACGTCAGCTTTAACGCCTGGCAAAAGGACAGCTCTGGGAACATGAAGCGGACTCTGAACTACACCATAGCCATCAATAACCCACTGATCGGGAAGTTCTCTGCTGTCACAGAGACCCAGGTATGAGTGGAGCCAGTGTGAACGAGTAGCTGTGTGAACATGTTTTTGTTTGAATCATTTCTTGCTGCTTATTTGAACTTTAATTCCCCATCAGACTTTGTACAAAGAATCCAGAGATGGTCGGTATTACCTCCTGGATTCGGAGGTGTTCACTCACGACGTTCCCTACCATGACTACTTCTACACGATAACCCGGTACTACATCGAAAGCCTTTCCAAGCGGAAGTGTCGACTTAGGTGCTTGCACTGTTTAAGAATCTATCTGGTCATTTAAAACAAGCTGAATTGAAATAAAACTCACTCTGTTGTGTTTAGGGTGTACACTGATGTGAAGTACAGAAAGCCAACTTGGGGCCTGGTCAAGTCCTTCATCACAAAAAACTCCTATAGCGCCATCGAGGATAATTTCAGACAACTGGGTGAGCAACAACATCTTATCTGCACACCACAGAGAGAGACGAGAGCATGTCCTCTTTGTGTTTTGTCCTCTGCTTGTGATTAATTTGATTTTTTTATCTGATCTGAACAGTTTCCTCCAACAGGCATCGAGCTCTACAGCAGAGAATCATATTACTGCTGCGGTGGCAGGCAGGACAATAAATATTAAAGGCAATGTAGCCAGCCTGTCTTTTGTCACGCTTATCAGGCGCTTTGAATGCGCATCGAACAAAAGCGCTTGAAACCATCAGCTTGTTTACTTATCAGCCATAACATTATAACCACTGATGGTTGAATTGAAAACATGGATTATTTTCTTCTTGTCAAGTGATAATTGTTGGGTTTATTAGGCAGCAGTGTGTGTGCTGAACAGGGGCTCAATGTTAAAGGGACTTTGACAAGAGACAAAATGTGTTTATGGCTCCAAAGAGCAAAGTAGAAGAACAGGTTTTGATGCAAGGCATGAGAATAATGGGTTGTAGGCAGTCACTAGAAGTCTTTTCTTCATTCAGTTATGAAAAATGAAAGGAAGGTGTTCTAAGGAGAAGTTTAAATTCTGAAAGTGGTCATTTGGTCGAATTATTTATAAAAGCTATTTTCTAAATCCTGTTATGTGCCATGGATTTCACACATGTTTGAATCAGACAAGCAGGAGATCGACAGGCAGATTGGGGCAGTGTCTGCAGTGATGCGGATGCTGAACCGGTCTGTTGTGGTGAAGTTGGAGCGGAGCCGGAAAGCAAGGCTCTCGATTTACCAGTCCATCTACCGCCCAGTCCTCACCTATGGTCATGAGCTTTGGGTAATGACCGAAAGAAGATCGCTGATACAAGCGGCTGAAATAAGTATTATCCGCCGGGTGGCTGGGCTCAGCCTTGGGGATAGGGTGAGGAGTTCGGACATTCGGGAGAGACTCGGAGTAGAGCCGCTGCTCCTCCATATCGAGAGGAGTCAGTTGAGGTGGTTTGGGCATTTTGTTAGGATGCCTCATGGACGCCTCCACAGGGTGGTGTTTCAGGCATGTCCTTCCGGCAGGAGGCCCTCTGGTCGACCCAGGACACGTTGGAAAAAGTACATCTCCAAACTGGCCCAGGAACACCTTGGGGTCCTATAGGAGGAGCTGGTGGAGGGAAAAATGGCTGCAAGTTCAGCGAACTTAGAATTCTTCTTTCAGTTAAAGTCCCATTAGTCATCATCAAACTGGTGAAATTACATCAGTGCATTTGACCCATCCCCATAAGGAGCGGTGAGCTGCAGCAGTGGCAGTGCTTGGGAACTATTTGGTGGTTTAACCCCCCAATCCAACCCCTTATTGCTGTGAGTGTCAAGCGGGGAGGCACTGGGTCCAGTTTCTTTGGTAGGACCAGAGAAAAGTTCCACCATAAATCTATGCTAGGGCAGTGGAGATCATGTGGTGACGTGCCAACATCTGATTTGTAGTCATAGTAATTACGAATTTTTACGTGCGCGTGACAGGCATGGTCGACTTGGGATCCCCATAGGAGCTAATGCTATAATAGATATCTCTTTACTCTGGAAATGTGGTTGTTTTGTCGCTAACTGTTGCTCATGGTGTCTTGATTGTAACTGCTTACACACACGTTTCGGCAAAAACACGGTAGGGAATCAAAAACCATTAGGTTGTTTTTAATTTCCATTTATTTTTGGTCCCATGATGGTACAGAAGCGGAGCTGCTGGAGGAAGAGGCAGAGATGAACCAAGCAGGTGGAGAGTCGGGAAAGATGGGTGGGCTCCGGAGGAGGAGGAGAACTTACAGCCGGACTCTGCAGGACCACATGAAGCCCAACAAGCAGTTTAGACAAGATCTTGAACCCAGAGATGAAAACATGGGTACTGACGGCTTTAATTGTTGTTTCAATAAAATACACTGAAGTCTGCATGTGTCACAGATGTAATTCAAATGTGAGGATCAGTGCTCCAGTCAGTGGAATGGCATGCAGTTGTCAGAAAATTAGATGTTAAGCCAAACGTGAACTTTAAAACTCTGCATGGTTTCAGGAGTTCTATGTTTGTGATTGATGTTTATGGTTTTGACCCAGTTAGTTGGGGTAAAGAAACTTAAACTATTGCAGTGTTTCCTCTCAAACAGAGCAAACATGTTCTTTGCATCAACTCTAATCCCAAGTTCTCATCGGTTTTAAAATGTTTTTCAAAAACAACGAAATCTTCCTACTTTACTGCAGGTCCCATGGAAATGACGGGCTCGTACCGACTGAACACAACAACAATAGTGGCGGTCATGAGTGTGATGTAAGTTCACTATACCGACTTGCATGGTTTTGCTGCTTGTTCTTTGAACTCCACTTTGTGCCTCTTTTAGCTTGTTGACTCTGATCGTGCTGAATCTGGGCCTGTTCTTTAAGCTGTGGGCCATGGAGGATGTGGCTCACCGCATGTACCTGACCACAAAGCATCGACTGAAGGACAGACTTGAGGCCAGGTCAGTCGTTTGTTTTGTAGGTTTCTGCGTTCTGTCTTCGTTGTGGGTGGAGGAAACACGAGGGTTTCTCTGTCCACTTTTCCTTTTGTCTGGTGTACAAGCAGCCCACATACAAAGAGTTCTTGCACTAATGACTCAGTGAAGAAACTGCCTTTTCCTGTATCTCACTGAACACAGTTATGCAAGAGGTCTCATGAGTCAGCTATCGTCTTACATTTTCTCTATTGTCTGCGCTGCTGTCACAGTAGCTGTATTCCTTTTTTTACTCCAACAGATTGGCACCTGAATACGGTCCCAAACGAGGACCAGGGTACGGTACCAACGAGGACCTGCATCTGTTAAAAACTGTCCTGAAGGACTCCATTCATCTTTTAGAACAGGTGGGATGTTTTAAGTTGTTCAGCAAGCAAGCTACAAGCTAACGCCCGTTCTTCAGGTTTCGCCCCTAGAATCGCAGATTCTTATGGTTACGGTGTTACATCGGACACTGTCAACCGTAAAAACATTACGCTTTTGTACGTTTTTGGCACTTTTTCTGCCGTAATTCCTAACGTCACCCACTATGTAACCGTATAACAAATTAATATGCTGGCTAAGATGGTATGGTGTGTTTATAGTGAAAATGAGGTGGTTTTTAGCTTTGTATTATTAACTCCTAAATCACAGCAGCTAAACGCCACCACCGATCTGGGAAAACCCCACGAAGAGGTAAAAACTCACCAGACACACACAAACAAGCTAGAGACATTGCTGTGCCAGCCAACAGGGGACAGGCTGCAATCACAGGCAACCAGTCCATCACTTAAACTTTTCCTAACATGAACAGAACTAGACTCTAAACAGAACATGTAAAACAACTCTGTAAATAAAATTTGTAAACAAAAACCATTACAAACCATTCTGTTCACTGCTCTGGCTAGCTAGCTGAGAATGCATGGTGCATGCACAGAGGTGAGAGATGGTAGCATTATGATGGATGGGTCATGATCCAATCATTTAGAATGGGGACCAGCGCAATGACTGGATGTTTTTCCAAGAATGTACGCTTTGAGAGGATATTTAAAAATCATTTTCTTTGGACAAAACATTAAATCTATGTTTAATAGTTTACAGATATGTTATGAATTAATATGTAAACACTTAAAAAATGTTAAGCATTAGAGGCAATACTTTTTTTTTTTGCCAAATAGTGAGCCAAATCGGCTCCCCTCTATTTAAAAAAGTTACTATGTTAAACATTTCAGACTACGTGACTACTTTGTCAGCAAAATGAGCTAAAATGCTAAAAACATAAGTTTTTAGCATAATTTGTCACTAAATTATAAATATCCCAAAAATTTGATGGGAATTGTAAAGTGTAAAACACAAACTCATCGTGCATGTTACAGCTTAATTTTTAAATGCCTAGAGGGAACTTTCTATTTTTTATTTTTAAGCCCGTTTTTAATGAGCGTGTTAGCTGCTAATTTTTTAAGAAGCTTTTATGTGTTTCCTTTACAGCTTCGCAGCTCCCTCATGATCCTCCAGAACAGCTTTGCCTTGGCCAATGAAACTTCAACACCTCAGTGATTTTAAACGCCATCAGACTGCACAGAAACATAAACTGTTCGCTGCAGCAAACTGCCTCAGATGAAATCCATGGTGTGTTGCCATGTTTGCGTCCCCAGGTGTGTCGTGTTGCCAGGAGTTTTCAGATGCCAGGATGACTGAAACCTGTAAACGGACTCATCAGGAGTAAAAAGTTGCATCAGAATGGAATAGCAGCTGGTTTGGACTTCTTGTGAGGTGCAGTTTTTTGGCTTTTGTTTTTAAATTTGTTCTTAACTACTAGCATGAGATATCTTCTGCGACACAGAATATTTATTGTGCTGTGCCACATGCAAGAAAATGCTTTAAATATTTTTAACTTGATATGTATTTAAAATAATTTTTGTACATATTTTACTTTTTTGCACTAGTTTTGTGAATGCATGGTCGAATTAGGTTTTTTTCCAATAAAAACTGTTGATTCAGTGAGTCCATCTTTGTTGACGATAGTTTTTGAACTGCACAAACACACTTAATTTATAAGTCACTGATTACATCCTCAAAATATTATCTGATAATGCTGTTAATATTGTGTGAAGTAGACATTTAGAAGTGCAAAGTAAAATTTCTCAGATTTTAGATTTTAAATGATTTTTAATCTGTAGATGGTGAAACATGTTTAGGCCTGTTTACCACATTCACATGAATGTTTAAAAACTATGCAGTTTTTATTACTGTAAATTTAACATGACTCATTGTTTTTGCACATCCTCAGACATTAAAAACTGTTTACATTTTTCTTTAATGGACAAAAGTTTTCCTGCTGATATTTCAGGGTCTTTATTTAAGAAAACCTCACTCCTGATTTTTTTTAATCAAATGGTTCAAATTCACACCTTCACCGATGGAAAAGCTTTTACATTTAATATCATGTCATAAATCTTAAAAAAAACACTTGATTCTGTTTGCAGAAGAAAAGCAGAAATTAAATGCTACCACAATTAAATGTCTTGGAAAAATATAATTTTGCAAAAGGTTAACCATTATGATGTATTCAGTAATACTATGAGTAAAACTCACCAGACACACACAAACAAGCGAGAGACATTGCTGTGCCAGCCAACAGAGGACAGCATATTTGGACATCTTGTCTCAGTTGCTTATGCTAGCTGTTAGAATGTTTCAGCTAGCAAAAGCTGTTTCCTGGAAGCAAAAACCGCCACTCCCATCACGAGCCAAGGTGGGTGTGTCAGGCTTTTCAATTCAAAGCATTTCAACATCTAGATGGGTGTAGGATAAAAGGAAGTGATGCCACCAACACCGGTGATCTTTTGATGGCTAGAGATACTAGCTGAAACATGTCGAGTAAAACAACAATTTTTACTAAAGCTTTTTTGCATACATGTAGTTATCCTCCATTTATCGTTACCGAGGTGAACTCAATATACTGTGATATTGATGGGCCATATCGCCAAGCCCTAGGTGGGGCCAAGGTCCACACTTGAGACTCGGGACACCCTACAGACTCGCACCACTGAATGAGAATGTGCAATTGAATAGAATACTTTATTGATCCCACAGTAGTGAAAATCACTTGTTACAGCAGCACCAGGATAATTTGAAGAAAAATAATAAAGGTACATGTGTATATACACAAAGGTAGTGATCTAGTATTGTAACCTTAAAAAAGGGGAAAAAACTTGGGCGCAAGTATGGCAGTGTGATTATTGGGACTGGGCCAACCTTTAGACCTGTATACATGATGTTCAGAAACTTAAACACAGAAAGGCTCTCAACAGTGCGACCTGTTTATACAGGTCCTTCAAAAAAAAATTAGCATATTGTGATAAAGTTCATTATTTTCTGTAATGTACTGATAAACATTAGACTTATGTATTAGATTCATTACACACAACTGAAGTAGTTCAAGCCTTTTATTGTTTCTAATATTGATGATTTTGGCATACAGCTCATGAAAACCCAAAATTCCTATCTCAAAAAATTAGCATATTTCATCCGACCAATAAAAGAAACGTGTTTTTAATACAAAGAAAGTCAACCTTCAAATATGTTCAGTTATGTACTCAATACTTTGTTGGGAATCCTTTTGCAGAAATGACTGCTTCAATGCGGCGTGGCATGGAGGCAATCAGCCTGTGGCACTGCTGAGGTGTTATGGAGGCCCAGGATGCTTCGATAGCGGCCTTAAGCTCATCCAGAGTGTTGGGACTTGCGTCTCTCAACTCTCTCTTCACAATATCACACAGATTCTCTCTGGGGTTCAGGTCAGGAGAGCTGGCAGGCCAATTGAGCACAGTACTACCATGGTCTGTAAACCATTTACCAGTGGTTTTGTCACTGTGAGCAGGTGCCAGGTCGTGCTGAAAATTGAAATCTTTATCTCCATAAAGCTTTTCAGCAGATGGAAATATGAAGTGCTCCAAAATCTCCTGATAGCTAGCTGCGTTGACCCTGCCCTTGATAAAACACAGTGGACCAACACCAGCAGCTGACATGGCACCCCAGACCATCACTGACTGTGGGTACTTGACACTGGACTTCAGGCATTTTGGCATTTCCCTCTGCCCAGTCTTCCTCCAGACTCTGGCACCTTGATTTCCGAATGACATGCAAAATTTGCTTTCATCCGAAAAAAGTACTTTGGACCACTGAGCAACAGTCCAGTGCTGCTTCTCTGTAGCCCAGGTCAGGCGCTTCTGCCGCTGTTTCTGGTTCAGAAGTGGCCTGACCTGGGGAATGCGGCACCTGTAGCCCATTTCCTGCACACGCCTGTACATGGTGGCTCTGGATGTTTCTACCCTAGACTCAGTCCACTGCTTCCGCAGGCCCCCCATAGTCTGGAATCGGTCCTTCTCCACAATCTTCCTCAGGGTCCGGTCACCTCTTCTCGTTGTGCAGCGTTTTCTGCCACACTTTTTCCTTCCCACAGACTTCCCACTGAGGTGCCTTGATACAGCACTCTGGAAACAGCCTATTCGTTCAGAAATTTCTTTCTGTGTCTTACCCTATTGCTTGAGGGTGTCAATGATGGCCTTCTGGACAGCAGCCAGGTCGGCACTCTTACCCATGATTGCGGTTTTGAATAATGAACCAGGCTGGGAGTTTTTCAAAGCCTCAGGAATATTTTGAAGGTGTTTACAGTTAATTAGTTGGTTCAGATGATTAGGTTAATAGCTCGTTTAGAAAACCTTTTCATGATATGCTAATTTTGAGATAGGAATTTTGGGTTTTCATGAGCTGTATGCCAAAATCATCAATATTAGAAACAATAAAAGGCTTGAACTACTTCAGTTGTGTGTAATGAATCTAATATATATGAAAGTCTAATGTTTATCACTACATTACAAAAAATAATGAACTTTACCACAATATGCAAATTTTTTGAGAAGGACCTGTATTTGTGGATTTCAAGCTTTATTGGTTTATTTTACCACTTCTAAGTAAATGATGCCAACATTTCTTTTGAGTACCACAAGTGATGTCTAGAAATCTCCATAATTCTGGTCTGGAATCTGTTCTGATGGCCAAAGCTAGCCCAAGGCATATGCAAGTTAAATGACCCAAACAATCCACATTTCAAATAGCAAAATAATTAGAGCAATTTTGTTGGTTTTTCTACTGCCGTATGGTTAGAATCAGTAGACACTGATGATGTATGCCAATTACAAAATACATTAAAATTAGTGGATATGTTATGCACAAAGTGTAGCCAAATCAACCATTGTTGACAAATCATCTGATGTTGACTTATTTATAGAAGGGGCCCCAAAGAAAAACATCCCTAGGGTCCCAAAAAAGACTTGGACCCAGGGACGAAATTTTGATTTCAGAAGTGGGGGGGACACAGCAGGCTTGTGCGGATTTGGGGTGGGGGGTGTTATGTAAAGACCCCTTGACACGTCACGTGCCCATCTCAATAATTTTTCCATCCTCTATATATATATATATATATATATATATCAAAGTTAAAAAATGTACAACTCTATTATTATTTTTATTTATTATCATTATTGAAGTGCAGTTTTGGCTGTTGACAATGGATAGGCCATTGTATTTATTGTTTTGGGTCTTTTTTATTGTTTTTGGTGCAACATTTTCTAACAGGGAGTGAGGTTCTTTTTTTATTCAATTTTTGTTTGTTATTTTTATTCATTTAGAAGTTCTGGTTCTGGACATTTCAATGTTAAATGAAGGTTTATTTGTTGCATTTTAAAGGGTGTACTTGCATTATTATGATATATTAACATTATATTAGTGGTTATTTTGGTCTAGATAATGTTGACAATATCGCTTATCATCAACAATTTGTTGGACAAAATATCGTCCAGCAAAATTTGTTACATTCCCAGGCCTAGTCAAAAGTATAAAAATTATTTATACATAAACGGTCCCTCCTGAGATCTGGCCGTTTGTTCATTTGCTGTGTTAGAGGACATGCTGAACTAATGTTTTACACATGATCATCACCCTAACATTTGAGTGTATAAAAACATATTAAATATGTTTTTCCCTTAAAAGTGTTTAAACAGTTGTTGCATTTCAACACACGAAAAATAAATGGAAAAAATAAGATAAATCTAATGAAAAGTGTACATCTTTGACATTAAGCTTAAAAAAATCTGTTGACGATGATGATACTGTTCATTTTTCAGAGCTTTTTAATGTGAAAATATGCATTGCAATAGATAAGTTTACAATAAAGTTTAATGATAAAAGTTTTGAAGTTACACTTCTACTACTACTACTACTAGTAATAATAATTATGATGATAATAGTAATAATAAAAAAAATAATAATTATAATAATACGAATAAATTGTGTCTGAGGAGTCAGTTATGTGGAGGAGATGAGTTTGTAAAAGTAACCCCCAAATTCCACTACCTCCGCTCCGCTCCGCTCCGCTCCGACACGAACGCCGGAGCAAAATCGGTCCCGTTGTAGTCAATCAGAGCAATTCCACTACTGCGGCCGTGCTCCGGCAGTGCGGCGCCGTGCGCCGCCCTCTGTTCCGGTGTCCGGCAAAAATAGAATCGATCCTATTTTTGCCGGACGCCGGAGCACCTCCGCAATCAATGGACATAAATCACAACGGCCCAACAGGAAAAGGAGCAAGCACAACTTCCGTTTTTCACAATAAATCGATAAACAAAAGGCGTTTTTTGTTTCATATGCACAGGTTTAACAACTTTTAACAACTATCAATGGCGGCTGAACTTTAAATGCCCAAAAGTAAGCCATAAATACAGTTTCCGCTATCAAAGTAGTCACATTTTGTTGATCCAAACACTGCTGATCTCAACACACATGATGGGCAGATTGAACAGCTCATGTCGATGCTTCTCCCACACAACGGGTGTTTGGATCTAACTTCCGCGTTTATTGCTTGGACTGTATCGCAAGATCTTGAAAATCCCGCGCATGCTTGTTTGCCCACCTCAGGTCTCCGCACCGGAGCGGAGCCGTTGTAGAGCGCGTACCAGTAAAAATTGAGTTCGGAAGCGAGCGGCTGCGGAAGGCGGGGGCGGACCGCAGCGGAGCGGAGCGGAGGTAGTGGAATTTGGGGGTTAGTTTTGAGTATGTTTGTGAAGGAGGAGGTGAGTCTGAGCTTAATGCAGGTCTGTCACATGTTCCAACTTACGTTTTGACTTAGAAAGAAGTCTCTTCTATCCACTTTTCATTTTCTTGACATGCTGCCTCCTGGCTGTGCCTAACTACCAAAGACTCACAAATGAACACTTATTCAAATGTTATGTAATGGAAGCTGAGCTGAGCTCTGATATTACACAGCGTCTAGTTGACGATGTGACTCAGTACCGGTGTTCCCTAGCGGCTCCAAACTAGCAAAACAACGTGAGCACGTTCTGACTGTTTACAACTTGAGTGACAGCAGCAACAGCCAATAATACGTTAGCAAGTATCAGCAGAGCCAATAGATTAGCTTTTGGGCGGGTCTAATAGTAAAGCGGTTTCCGTTTCGGTCCTAGTGCTCAACCAAATCCATTTAATGGAGCGTAACATTGTTTTTGGACGAAAAAAGTGCAGGGGACCAAAACTGCCTTTTGAAAAAGTGGGGGGGACATGTCCCACCCGTCCCCCCCCCAAAATTACGTCCCAGCTTGGACCGACCCTGCTGATAAGGATTGGCTAGATCTGCTAAAAGGAAAATAAAAGAACCCAGCTGCCTCCCTTCTGAGGAACTCAAGGAAGTTTGTTTTCTTTTTAAAACATTTATAATTTTAGGCTTGAGTGAAACCTTTGTTCCTCCCATTTCTCTAACAGCTGAATGGCATAAATCAGGGTGAATGTAACACTCCTGAGTGTAAATGTTCAGAAAATGATTACAAAACATTTTTTCTTAATTTAAATGACACAGAAGCAGCAGCTTTAGTTTGGCCCTGTAGGTGATAAAATATACATGCGTGGGAGTCCTGGGCGGGGAAAGTCTGCCTCGACGTCAAGAAGGAAACCGTTCAGCTGCTTCGCTGCCTTCAACCCTCCGAGCCAGCACCAGGACCTGGAGGGCAGGCAGCCTCGGATACAACTCCGACCCATTCAGGAGCACAACGAGCCTCGTGAAGCCGAGAAAGACGCCAGAAACGAGCGCTGCAGCCCGGACCGAGACTTCCGCCCAGGAGTCGGTAGACTCGCCGCAGCTCCGTGTCACGTATGTTCAGGTGTTCAAAGCCAGCCTTTAAAGCAGCGCGTGAGTCCGGTAAACGTGATTAAATAATGTGTGGGGCAATAAATTGTGTGGGTAAAGTAAAATAACAGGAAGTAGCTTATTTGTTCACAACAACAATGAAATGTGTTCACAGAATAAATTTAACTCTTAAATTAAAAAAAAATATATATATATCTTACTTGATATATTTAAGTTTCTAAGAGCGCTATATCTTTAAGAGGATGTATACTTTCCTAAAAACTAAATAACACATGCTGTTTACAGCATGTCTTCAGACCCCTGCTGGACAGTTTGATTACTGCACGTGAATTTATAAAGCATTAATTTTGTACAATTCATCCGGTCATTATCTTTTCTTTACTAAAGCTGCAGGTATCTGGTACATAACCCCAGGTTTTATTAGGTGAGAAGCGGGGGACACAGGACAGGTCGCGAGTCCATGACAGGGAGACAAAACACAGTCACATCTAGGGACAATGTAGGGTATGGATGCATGTTATTAAAATAACATGCAAGTTTTTGGTCTGTGGCAGGGAACTTGATCACCTGGACAAAACCCACACGTGCATGGGGAGAACATGCAAACTTCATGCAGAAAGGCTGCAGCTGGGATTTGAACCTGCAACCTTTTTGCTCTAAGGCACCATGCAACCCTATTACATAACTGCATAATACAATATAATTGTTATTTTAATGTTAGTCAATTTTTAGTTAGGATCACAATTTAACAAAAAGGGCACTGGCACAGATTTTCAGGCGAGTGACAGGCGTTTCAGCATCTGAGAATCTTAATCTTAATCCCTCCAAGAGAATAGCAGCTGTTCTTCATAGAAGGCTGTTAGAAATATGCTGGAACTGTTAGAATGAAGAAAAAATGCACAACACAGACATAGATCTGCTGAGAGACACAAAGATAGGATGAATCATTACATTAGTATTCATTTTTTTTCTTGCCAGGGAGCAGATGTTCTGTTTGGAGCTACATGAAACCCAATCTGTCTTCCTCTAAAGCCTTCGCATGGAGTGAGACCAGCAATATTCTAGCATATTATGGATGCATTTGTCAGATTGATGTAGAATTAATCATATTTGTTTAATATTGAGGGGGACACCGAAGACATGTGACTGTTATAAATGCTGACAACACCTCAACCTAAATCCATCTGTGCTATAAATAAGTCCAAACGCCAGGCTGGTGGGAGGGATCCATGGATGTAAACCATTAAAACGTGACAGATGTGTGACAGATGTGTGGAGAGCAGATGGATTTAGATTGGGTCAAATGAGCAGGATCTGCCTAAAAAAAAGAAGTTTGGACCCACTTTATTATCTAAAACCCATGCAAATGGCTGATAATCTGCTGTATGCAAAGATTATTAAAGCAAAGTGGGCTTTGAGATTAATGCTTGTGCTTCAACTGCCACTTTTCTCCTCGCTCAACTGTTGTTCCAATCCACAAGTAGAATACCCACCAAAAGAACGCTTTTCCAACTATTTCAGCAGGCTGCTGTGCTCTCTTTCATGAAGAAGCAAGCCAAGAAGGAGCAGAAGGAGGTGGAGGAGGAGGGTTTGTGTTGCTGTGAGTATGTGAACAGACACGGAGAGCGCAGCCACATTGCTGCCTGTTGCTGCGACTGCGAGGATCTGGACGATGCCTGTGACAGGTGAGAGGAGTTAAACCGACACCGGTCGGAGCTGCTCAGGCTCAGTTACGTTTCAGTGTATTTAAACAGTTAAAGAAAGAGAAGGCCCTCTTGTATTTTAGTCCAACATCTAACGATTTACCTAAGATATGAACTGCTTTCCTATTTTAACATATGCAAAAGAATCATATCATGAAATCTTTTTGAAATGTCATTAATTCTAGGTCTTGATTTTGTTACTTGCTTAAAGAGACAATGTGTAGTTTTTACTGTTAATCTCTGGAAATATCCATCAAAATGTTGTTGAAAATGAATGAAATGATGTCCAGTTGTTGGAAAAATTTTGACAGCTTTGTACCATAAAACCATAAAAATCAAGTCTAAAGTACATAGAGAGCAGGTCTAGTGATTTTGGGGGATGCCTTAATAGACGCCATGTTTCCTTCTGGTTGGCTCGGGGGCCTGCGCTTGTTGATGACATCACACTAGATGATTGGCTGAAAGTACGACTTGCAGAAGTTACGTTACCACATTTAAAAACATTTAGGCAGTAAGAAACATGATTTTATTAACTAAACTGCTAAACTCTTTCCAAAACGTGAAAAAACAGAATTGAAAAAGAGGTACAATGTATTTTGGCCCAGCGGTATTGCTGTAGTGTGATGATGTCATCAGCAGGCGCAGGACCCCGAGCAGATCCAGAAACTACAGCGCCAGAAAACTACAATCGGCATGGCATTCTCTCTATGCATTTAACCGAAGGATCACCAAAGTCTCAGTCATGGCGAGGTTGCACGCTTTCTGCTCCACATTTACCGTAATGTTTTTTTTTTTTTTACTAGCAACAGTCATGGCGATATGGTGTAAAACTACCCTGTAATGTATGTATGTACTGCTCCCTAGTGCCAGGAAACTACACGCTGCCTCGTGGCCTAGTGGTGGAGTGTCCGCCCTGAGACTGGGAGATTGGGGTTAAAATCCTGGTCAGGTCACACCAAAGACTTGAACAATGGGGCCCAAGACCTCCCTGCTTGACGCTCAGCATTAAGGGTTGGATTGGGGGGTTAAACCACCCAACAGATCCCGAGCGTGGCCACGGCTGCAGCTCATCGCTCCCCACGGGGATGGGTCAAATGAGAGGATGAATTTCACCAGTGTGTGTTGACTAATAGGACTTTAACCTTAACCCCGGCTTTCCACCGGATGTGAAAGCGGCGTGTAATGAAATAGAGGCGTTTTACCTTCAAGCAATTTCCCCCTAGGGGGCGCCACTGGCCAGGAGCTGCTGATTAAAGCAGGAGCTTTGATGTTTCTCTTGGTCTGGAGCATACAAGCGTGTGTTAACACAACACCCAGCGGGAAAACATGTTACCTTACAGTATTGTTTTTAAACTGTTTTTTTCTTGTTTCTCTCAGGTTTTTTAAGAGGGAGCCTCAGAAACCTGAATCCTTGTCGCAGATAGCCACAGTCGTCTCTGACCGGATTCGTGTTCCCTGGCTGTGGGGCGGCGCTCAAAAACTGGACCTATCCATTGTCCCTCCTCTTATACTTCTTCCTGCCTTGCTGCACCTCGCTGCTCTCCACTTCCTGTTGGGCATCGTGGTTCTGATGGCTCTGCCCGGCTTAGTGTTATGGTACTACTATTTCACCCATCGCAAAAAAGGACGGACGCTGTTCTTCCTCAGCCTGGCGCTGTTCTCCTTAGCATACATGTACTACTTGTTCATATGGGAGGTGCTTCCACGTGGAGATGTTGGACGGGTGGAGCTGGTGGCAGTGACCTCGGGGGTCATCCTCACCCTGTTGGCTCTTCTCCACACCAAGAGGGATCCCGGTGTTGTGCGACTGGACAATGATGATGTCCACAGCACGGTGACGTACTACGCCCCCCTGCCAGACAGAGACTCATCCTTCAACGCAGGGAGGCAGGAGGTTTCACAGACAGCAGCCAGTCGGGCTGGGTCAACAGAGCAGGAAGGGGCGGAGCTTGAGAGCAGCAGGAGGAACTGGTGCTCAGTGTGCAGGGTGGTGCGGCCTCCGAGGGCGGGACACTGCCGGATCTGTGGCGTCTGCGTGCTGCGTCTCGACCACCACTGTGTCTGGTGACTGTCACTTCCTTCTTGTCTCAAATCTTTACATTTTTTATCGCCATCTGATGTGTGTGTTGGTGCTTATGTGTGTGTGGTCTCAGCATGTCTGCATGTCTTTACAGTCTTTGTGTGTGTCCTCCTTCTGTCTGCGCTGGAGCAGGATAAACAACTGTGTGGGACAGGCCAATCACCGCAGCTTCCTGCTCACGCTCGTCTTCTTCCTGTTCACGTCCCTGTACGGCATCAGCCTGGCGCTGCAGAGTGTGTGTCCTCGACAAAACGTCCTCACAGCTTTACTGTACTGCCCCGGAGTTTACAACCAATACAGGTACAAAGAACTCAAGTGTAGCTAGAGACTTTTAAATTAGGATTTTAATCTAGCATAAAAACAGCTGATAGGTGTTCAAGCACCAGAAAACACTAAAAACAGTGTCTTATCGAGCTTTGAAAAGCCATGAAGCCCATTTTTTTACAAGGTATCACATGGCTTTCCTTTCATAATAAATGTTCACAAAGTTTATAATTGAATAGAATCTCAGCGTGACCAAATTTCAGGCGTCAGATGGTTCTGAAGCTTCTGCTTCCAGCAGGGCGTTCTGCTGGTGTCAGCTTGTCACACATTTAGATTTTTTTGATTTAGTCGCTGCTGCTTGAGGCGCAGCAAGCTACACCGCCATGTCTTTGGTAGATTTACGCAAACGTGTCTCTCCATCAGTGGTGTGTCCAGGCCTTTATGTCATTTGACCTCAAGTGTGTGAAATCTCACCGTTTCATTTACTGAATAAAAGAACAATTTCAGGATTTAATTGGATATATTATCCCAAACTCCCCTTTTGTATGCGATGTGAGGCTCCAATGCCTCTATACACCCTCCAAATATGAAAAAACAAACATCCATCTGTGGCCTTCAATTCTCGGTTTTGGGAATTTAAGCCTAAAATGAGACATTCCTAAAAGTCCCTGTTTGTGATGTCACAAACGAGTAGATTAGCATAGAACCACTGCTCACGTGCAAGAGTAAAGGAGTCTACTCCAAGCTCCTCTCAGATATCGAGCTTCTCAGCTTATAGCAGCCTCAGCGGGAAAAGGGGTGGACGTGGCCAACTTGTTTTCTTAAAGAAACAGAGCCCTGAAACGGCTCATTCTGGAAGGCACTGAAACTGTCAAGAATAAATAGGCTGAAATTGCTTTATGTGAGAGGGATTTAGTGTAAAGAACTTAATAAACATGTATTTTATTGATCATAGAACTATTATATAATTCATATTAGCCATTAAAGCCACTCCTTCATTACCCTTTAAAAGGAAAAGTTGCAGTTGTCAGCATGGCAGTGGAGAGATCATGGTTTGGGCTCCTTGCAGTCACTGAACTCTTCTGTGTATGAAAATAATCTAGAGTCAGACGTGAGACCGTCCATCTGACAGCTGGACCAAACTGGGTCATAAAACAGGACATCACACAAACTGCAGCTAATCTCCAACAAAACAGCTGAAAATTAGTCGATTAGTCAAAATCCAGACAGATCACAAACATGGTGGGATCGTAAGAGAAACATGCAGATCGTATCATTTTAATTACATCCTGATGCATAAAACCCTAAGATTGTAATCCTCCTTTTTCCCATGAATCTGTAAAAAATATGAAAAATACACCATAGAAAGGAAAATAAAAAATACCCTACAAATTACTTTAATCTATTTTAAAAAATATCTAGAGAGGAGCTATATAAAAGATATTTTTGTATCTTTAATTTAAAAAATAAATGAAAATGAATAATTCATTTGAGTCACCCCAAAAACGGACTCACAATTGGCATAAGTACACACAAATCCAAAAGGCTAATTTAATTTCCTGCAGGTAAGACTTAAGAGATCATTTGCACCAATTAAAAAAAAAAAGCTGAATTTTACAATCTGAAACATTAATCTTGAAAGTGATATTGATCCTAATCAACTGTGAAACACATTTCTTTCCACTCACAGCTGTGTTCTCTATCTAAAGGAAACATGTCCTGGTGCAGAAAGAGCGAATGGAAGCAGAATATTTCTCCAGCAGAGCAGATTTCTGTTCCTTAAATAGCTGAGAGACGCTGTTCGAACTGAGACGTCATGGGGAGTTTTGATACTCGTTTTTCAGTGAAGTTCTCGTCTGTTATGTCAGCTTTCAGATATTGTTTTAAGACTTCATCAAAACCCTTTTTTTGAGGGAGTTTTTAGTTCCAGTATTTGAGAATTGGCCCCTTTGAGCTGCTCAGACATCATTTACTGCAAAACGGAACATATTCAGTTTTACAGTGACTATTGGTGATGCATGTTCTCTTGTGTGTTCTCCAGCACTGCGTTGTGTTTCACCTGTGCATGGTACAGTAGCATGGTGACTGGTGGGCTGCTCCATTTGCTTTTAGTTCAACTCATCAACATCAGCCACAACGTGACGGAGCGGGAGGCCCGCGCCGCCCTGAGGGAGAAGACCGCCCGCAGCGCCTACTGGGGACTCGTTGTGGACACGGGCGTTTATACTCAAGGCCTGCGTGGGAACTGGTCTGAGTTCATCTCCATGGGAGACAAGCTGAAGCCTGCTTCTCCTGCTGATTTAGTGTGACTGTTTGCTGCTGCATTTCAGTTTCTACCCACTAGATGGCAGCGTTGGGCTGGAGCTGCACTGTGTCTCATATTAACAGTTTCAGACCGCTTCCTTCACTCTGGCGGTCCTCCTGTGGACATAAAGACTGACTTCATGTCTCTGCTATGGTCTAGTGTCTCGGTGGACCGCTGCAAGCAAGAAAAACTTGAATAAACTTCCAATATCTGTTGGTTCATTCTCATAACCAACGTCAACAATCAGAAGACACTTAATTACTTATATTTATTGCACCTTCTTTGCATTGCAAACTCCTCTGTGCTAATTTATATGCTATAACAGTCATTTGCATTAATATAATTAGTTATTTTGCCTAGTTTAAGCTTTCAAACAAATCCGTACACACAAAAATATGATTTAGAATTTATTTATTTAGTCTTTAATTAGTTTTATAGCCTTTTTTGATGATTGTTTAGTTTGTGTTCTGTGTTTGTGGATTTTCTATGAACAAAGTTATTTATTTAATAAAAGTGAAAAGTAAGCTGGTGCTTCATCGTCTTTTCCCTCCAGAGTCACGTTTCTGTGTTCCCTTGTGCCGTTTCTCTCGGAGGCTTTACGTTGGACGGGAGCAGAAATCGGGTAAAACCTCTGCAACTTTCCTGCTCAGCTTCTCCCGGCGCTTGTCCCGCCGCCGTTCGCTGCGCAGCACGCTTGGAAGCTGCCTCCAGGCCTGGAGAGTCTTTAGCAGAATCCGTCTACAAAGCAAACAGACGGAGAAAGTGAGCGATAACAGGATGAATTATAGGGATTCTATATTTACACCATTTAATTTTATTCCACAATATATTTAAGGGATTTTTGAAAATAGCAGCTGGTGAAAATTATATGAATTATTTATAGTTTGACAAATCTTGGAGAAAAAAAATGTAAAAAGGGAACTTTCAAGGATCTTCTTAAACAAGAGATTTAAACCTTTTAGAGGATAATTAATGTAATTTCAGGGATTTGGCAAATTAACAGACCTGTCATTGTGCTCTTGAGCCAGGTTTTGACTGTCCAACTCCACCAGCCTCTCCTGGGTCACGTGGTCCAGAAGTCCGAGCAGAACCCTCCGCAGAGTGTGTTTACGATAAAAATGATCTGCCTGCTCCTCCTGGATCCTTCGCATGTCTCGCATCTGAAACAAACACCAGAGGACAGGATGCTGGGAAACGACTGAACTTATTTAAAGCAAAAATAAATCAAACTTTTTTTTTTTGTAAAAAAATAACTAAATAAATATTTTCAGTAAATTATAAAGTTTCTTTGATGTATTTGGTCAGACAGGAAGAGGGAAACTGGACACATTGTGAAGATTTAGGCTTTATATTGGGAAGGATTAGGAAGCAGAATAGTGATTTCTGTTGGAGTACATGGTTATTTGTGTGTGTGTGTGTGTGTACACACTCTTTTCCAGCAGTTTAAGCTCCTCTGCAGCAGAAAGCGTTGATAAAATCGATCAGCACGAGCCTCTTTCTCAGATACAGACTCTCTTGTGTGCTGCTGCCATCCCAGAATGCATCGCTTCAGGACGTTGAGGCGGTGGTGATTCTCAGCCAGCTGAAAGAAAAACACATTTACAATTAAATGACAGAAATAAATAAGGACATGTGTAAAAACAACACAACAGGAGCATTCTGGGAATGAAATAAATGTGTGAGTTGATTTTATTTTATTTCATGTTTTCAGTCTTTTGAAGCCTGATGGTATTTTAGAGGTTTTTTAGCGTTACCTGTTGCTCCGGGTGTTTAATTTACAGGCAAAAAAGTCAACACCTGGATTTAACAGAGCAAATAGCTACAATCCTCCTATTGCTTAATTACTGCAGGGCGATTATCTTTCAGCTGCAACAACTGGTAAGTAGAGCTGCTTCTCATTTCTTAAACAACCATGTGGAAAGACACTTCTTGTGGTCACAGAAAAGATGCTAGTCCGTTTGAGAAGGGTAAGATCACTGGCATGCAGAGAAAACATCTAAGGGTAAAAAACTGGGTTAAGAACTGTCCAACGCATTATTAAAAACTGGTCTGAGTCCAGATGGACCCTGTTCCAGAGTGATGGTGCATCAGGGTAAGAAGAGAGGCAGATGAATTGATGCACCCATCGTGCCTAGCGCCTACTGTGCTATGATCTGGGGTTGCTGCAGTTGGTCAGGTCTAGGTTCAGCAACAAGAATAAGGTCACCTGACTACCTGAATATGACCAGGTTACTCCATCTTCCCTGATGGGATGAGCATATTCTAACACGACAATACCAGGATTCATCAGGATCAAACAGTGAACGAGTGGTTCAGGGAGCATGAGACATTATTGTCACACATGGATTGGCCACCACAGAGTCCAGACCTTAACCCCATTGAGAATCTTTGGGATGTGCTGGAGAAGGCTTTGTGCAGCGGCCAGACTCTACCATCATCAATGCAAGATCTTGGTGAAACATTAATGCAACACTGGATGGAAATAACCCTGGACACTGCAGAAGCTTATTGTAAATATGCCACAGTGAATGTGCTGTCATCAAAGCTAAAGGCGGTCCAACGAAATATTAGAGTGTGACCTTTTGTTTGGTGGCGACCTTTCTTTTGGCTGGGCAGTGTGTCTACATATATAGGATGGCTTGCCAGGCTACATCAGTTTGGATACTTTTGCAAACATGTTGGCACACTGTCAACGACATCTGTTCGTAAGCAGATGTCTAACGCTACTGGCTAATGCTGAGCAGCGCAGTTTAAATTGCATAGGGGTTTACAGACAGGCTTAGCAAAAAAAAAGTTGACGTACTGCCTTCATTAAATCTCTGAGTAAAACGATCACTTTTACGGATTTCTAAAACATTGTACATTCTTGAACGGAGAAAACTCCAAAATGCAGTTTTAAGACAAAGTGGTCGAACAGAGTAAGTTACCGGGACAATGAGCGTTGTAAAAATCGTTACGCATTATGAAAAGAACACAATATTTATTTATCCACACTAGTCAGTTTCTTGTGCGTGCACTCCTGATAGTTCCACATGTCTTGGAATTTCAGCAAAAATCGGACCTTTCTTTTGTTTTTGGGAATTACACGATCTTCCACATCCGGTCTGAGGTGAAGGATGTTTCGCTTTGTGAGCGGATCAGCGTGCACGCAACACAACACAACTAACATTTCACACTGATGAACTGAGCACCAGAAATTATCCTCATGCCCGTGATAAACCATTTTTTATTTTACTTTCTTTTCCTTCCAGCGGTTTGGCTTCTGTTGGACACACACACACACACACACACACACACACACACACACACACACACACACACACACACACACACACACACACACACACACACACACACACACACACACACACACACACACACACACACACACACACACACACACACACAGAGTGTGTGTTCTTTTCACTGCTGGTAATCAGAATCTCCCATTCTAACATCAGTGGAGTCATAATGTCATTTTGATTCAGCATTTGCTCTCGGAGGTGAGAAGTGTCCCTTCATCTCTGGGGAATCTGAGGATTTATCTATTGTGAAATATGATAATCCCTCAGCTCCAGAGCTCCTAATAGATTTTTATGTCTCTGTGAGCTGATAGCTGCAGTGTACAGGATGTCACTCACCTCCACGCTGGCTTGTTTTAACTGAATGAGGCGTTTCCATGGCACCAGGCCTCGACGTGACAACAAGGTTGTGCTGTAGTGTTGATGGGCCAGCCTCATGAGCTCCTGATGCCGCTCCCGCTGCCTCTGCTTCTCCTCCTCCCTCTGGAAAACACATGCTTTTGATCCTGAGTATCACAGGAGAAGCTTCTTAAAACAAATAAACTCAAGTCAATCCGCCTCACCTGTCTCTCCAGCCTCTTCTCCTCCCTCTTCCTCTCTGCCGCCTGGCGTTTCTCCTCCTCTTCCTCCCTTTGCCTTTGCTCCTCAGCAGCTTTCATCTCAGCCTGAAAGATTTCCAGTCAAACCAGGCTTGAAAGTCTCAAAGCGTAACAATCACTCTATGAGGAGTTCTCACCAGCTTTGTTTCCTCTTTCTTTCTTTTGAGTTCCTCGATCTCCTTTCTTTGCTCTGCTCGCCGTCGTGCGCGAGCTTCCATGGCTTCAGAGACAGACCAGACATAAGAGTGCATCATCAAAAACCTTCCAAAAAGCCTGGAGGAAATTATGCGTTTTTTAAAGTTTGAACAAAATTTTATTAATAAAAGCAAATTCCCTTCAGCTGTGAGTTGGAATAAGTTAAAGAGGAGGGTATGGGTCAGCTGACACTAAGAAGGTAATCCTCTCTGCTTCCATGCAGAGAAATGGAAGAGATTGATGGGTACTGTGGCAGAAAGGTAAGAGAGAAGACAGTTTGAGATGAAGCGCGTCGTTTATTATCCATCAGGGTGAGAAGGTTGTGCTAATGGGTTCAAATCTGGAGCAGCTGTGAGCCTTAATTGATTTATCTGTAAATGCTGCCCTTTTGTCACCAATTCTGTTCGTATCTTTTATAGACAGGGTGTCTAGGCACAGCCAAGGTGCTGAGGGGATCCGTTTTGGTGGCCTAAGGATTGAGTCTTTGCTTTTTGCAGATGATGTGGTCCTGTCAGCCTCATCAGAACATGATCTCCAGATTTTGCTGGAGTGGTTTGCAGCTGCGTGTGAAGCAGCTGGGATGAGAATCAGCTCTTCTAAATCTGAGAGAACATGGCCTTGAGTCGGGAAAGCCTTCTCCGGGTCAGGGAGGAGGTCTTGCCTCAAGTAGAGGGGGTTCAGTATCTCTGGGTCTTGTTCACAAGCGAGGGAAAGATGGATGGACAGGCGGGTTGGTGCTGCGTCTGCATTGATGCGGGCGTTGTACCGGTCTGTCGTGGTGAAGAGAGAGCTGAGCCTTCCGGCTCCCCCGGAGGAGCGGGCCCACGTGGCTATGGACAGGGAAGTCTGGACCTCCCTGCTTAGGCTGCTGCCCCCACAACCCGACCTCAAAGAAGCAGAAAATGATGGATAGATGGATGAACTAAAATCCTCTTATGTTTAGAAATAATGGTGTTGTAGCTGTTTTGGTCAAATCTAGCAAATAACATGACGTCACAAGAACAATGAGTGAGTTATAACTCTGTGTTGTGAGTTTCTCTAAGCTGCAAAAAACTAACTTCAACCTCAACATCTGTAAAGCTGACTGAGTTATAACCATTTTTGTATTTCTAAATGAGAGTTAACTATGGTGGTCGTCTTGAACAGATTTGACCCCAAAAGTCAGAAAACTTGGTTTGACACACAGATCTGGGTTTTTTTTGAACTGCAGAGAGGAAAAGTTGGAAAATAAATAATTAATGAACTAAATCCAACAAACTTTTAAGAAAAAGTGTCAGAAACTCCCATCTGTTTGGTACAAGCAGCTCCTTGTTGCCTGTGAGAAACATTCATAGACTTTAAATGTTCCTACAGATAAAATGTTACTGAGGTGTGAACAACAGCTCTGCCTGGGGCTCCATTGTTGGCTGCAATTTATCATTATTATGCAAATGATTCCCTTCTGTTTAGCAGTCTTGTACATTAGCCTAAACAGCACATGATAAATGTATTATCCTGACACAGTAAATGGACAATTTACAGCCATATGTGAACACTTTACAACTTCCGTGTAGCCTCGTGGGTTTGCTCTGAGCCGCTGAGCCGGCGGACTGACCTGTGATGATAGGATGGGGGCACGTCTGCCTTGAGACAGCTTTCCTCGAAGGTTCTTTCTGGCTATCAGGTTCTGCTGGAGCCGTCGGTGCTCTGTAACGGTGATGATAACAGCCAGATGAAGGAAAAAAGAGCCTGTCATAACTGCGTCTGCATGCTCACATCATCTCCATCCTTCTCTGAAGTTTTTCATTCAGAAAATGAAAGGTGTACTGAATAAAGGCGAAGTGGAAATAACGCCAGACTGGACATAAGCCTGAAACCGTGGTCAAGTCAAAAACTATATTTTATGTAGAATAAAAAAATTAAGCTTCCAGCATGTTACTCCTCATTCTGAGGTTTTTTTAAATTGCGATCTCAGGAAAGGTAATTATCTATCCATTTTCTGAAACCGCTTGTTCATGTAGGGTCGCGGGGGGGGGGGGGGGGGGGGGCAGCACTGCTCCCCACGGGGATGGGTCAAATGTGGAGGTGAATTTCACCAGTGTGTGATGATGACTATGGGACTTTAACTTTAAGTAAAAAAAACTCCTCCATGAAGAGAACCTCATCTGATATGTATGTGAAATATTCAAGGAAATATCGCAATATGTGATGTTATGAAACATTTACTGTATTTATTTTGTGCGATGCAATTCAAACTCCAACTGCTAGATGGCAGCAGGCTTTACCTCCATCATTCAGACAAAACGAGATCTCGCGATAACACTGGATGTGTCTTAGAAGCTTGAGGCCTGAGTTTTCCAATAAGATTCATTGTTAAAAAATGACAAATGCTTGCTGTTAGTATGTAATATATTGTATTGCCAGATTCTTGCCAATACACACTCCTAGTTTTTAGTAACGCTGATGAAAAAATGGGTTGATTTTAAAAATTAGTGAGCCAACCTCTGCTCCTTTGGGTCAACGCTGCAGCTCATTGGTCGGGAGCCTCTCAGCACTGACAGCTGTGTGAGCTGTGAAGTTTTCTCAATTTCCAGCTCAAGACCCATCATGCTCTGCTTCTCCTTTAGACGTGTGATTTGCTCCTGCTGCTCCTTTAGCAGTTTCCTCTGCTGCATGATGATCTGCTGCTGGACGGCGTGTCTGTTCTCAAACCTGCCAGCTGATGACACTGTTCTTGTTTTACTGGCCAAAACGTCGCTTTCTGCGATTCGCCGTGCCTCAAGGAGCTCTGCAGCGGTGGGGGCTACGTGACGTCGGGTCACCTGCCATGGCTGAGAGGGCAGGAAATCTGTACCTGAAGAAGGTTTATCCTGATGCACTGCCAAGGGATCAGGAGCGTACGTATCTGACATTTGGTGACCCATCTACAGGACACATAAAAAACTGCAATTATCTCATGCGAATAAAACATCCATTCATTTTCTTCCACTTATGCAAGGTCGGGTCGCAAGGGCAGCAGCCTAAGCAGGAAGGCCCAGACTTCCCTCTCCCCAGCCACTTGGGCCAGCTCCTCCAGGGAAATCCCAAGGCCTTCCCTGGCCAGCTGAGGGACATAGTCCCTCCAGCATGTCCTGGGTCTTCCTTTACGTCTCCACCCAGTTGGACCAGGGAGGCGTCCAGGAGGCATCCTAACTAGATGCCTGAGCCACCTCAACTGGCTCCTCTCGATGTGGAGGAGCAGCAGATCTACCCTGAGCCCCTCCTGGATGACCAAACTTCTCACCCTATCTCTAAGGCAGAGCCCAGACACCCTGCAGAGAAAACTCATTTCGGTCGCTTGTATCTGAGATCTTGTTCTTTCTGTCACTAAGCACATGACCACAGGTGAGGGTAGGAACGTAGATTGACCGGTAAATCGGGAGCTTCGCCTTCCGGCTCCCGCATCACTGCATCGATCTCGCGCTCCATCTTTCCCTCACTCGTGAACAAGACTCTGAGATACTTAAACTCCTCCACTTGAGTCAGGTCCTCTTCCCTGAATAAAACAAATCTACATAATTTGACAGCTCTAACTTAGATCAGCAGAAGTTAATTTTTGTTTTACTCTTCTTCCAAGAACTCTGACATTAAGCTCAGTTTTCTCATTGCTCCAAGCTGGTCCTACTTGTCTATTTGGGTATTTTTGCCTTTACTAAATAGTAACAATGAAGCCAGGTGAGAATGATGGGGAGGTAGAGAAGGACAATGAAATAAGGTAAAGTTGCACCCAAACAAGCCGTTTCTGTGTAGAAAATTCGCCATTTGCCCTCTTCTTCCTCCACCTCCTTTCTCCAGAGTCGTTAATAATTCAGCTGAGATGTCTTCCTTCATCCTGATAGGTTCAGGTTGTCCCACGCAAGAAGAAGGGTTGGAGGAGGATTGTTGTTTTATTTACATCTCAAAATGCGTCAGTAAGGGCCCTAAGCATGGTTTCATAGAGAGCGCTGGCCCTTCAGGCACTTATTGGATCATTTATAAGTTTATTTTCAGTGAAAACTTGAATAGTTTGTTAGTGGATATGTGTAGAGTGTCCCTCACCTCCTCTAGTGGGGCAGTTTTCAGTGGATCGGCAGAATTTTCTGCAACCGTGAGTTTTCCTACAGACACAGCAGCCATCTTTTCTTTGGTCTCCTGTTGTCGAGCAAAAAGCTCCCGTCGGGCCTTCTCCGTCCGACACCATAGCTGCCACTCACCCAGACATCGCCGTAACAACCGCCTTCGGTCACTTTCTGCAGCGAGCTGCGTTTGTCTGTAGAGGGGAGCAGAAGTGACCACGTTAACTGCTCAGGAGGCTCTCATGAATCTTTTTTTGTTTACAACTTTCATACCTGTTTTCTTTTCGCAGCGCCTCCTCTGTTCTCGCCACCTCTCGCTGCCTATGCGCCGCCCACACCAGCGATCGCCAAGCTTGCCAGGCCTTCAGCCGCCTCCTCCAATTACAAAGAGCCACCACCTTGTCCATACATAACTTTTTGTCCAACACTACTGAGTGCCACCCAGAAAAGTGTCTGTGCAAACACTAAAATGTGTACAGAGGCATTAATTTGAGCAGGAAGTGCACGAAAACCCACTGAACGCAGCATCGACATGTCTCCTACCTTTAATTTGCTCATGTGAATCAGAGTTTGAATGTTTTGCTCAAGTTGTTGATGGGATTCCTTTAGATGCTTTTGTTTTGTGGGAGGGATTGGGATTGGTTGAGCACTCCTGACTTCCTTTTGCACTTCCTGTTCTCTTTCTCTGTGCAAAAACAAAAATTATACAGATAAAAGGTTGAAAAGCCTTTCAGAGACAAACACGGTTCTAAAACTCACCTCTGTCGAACTCGACGTTCAAGCCCTCTCCTCTCCTCCATCTGACGCCGTAGTTTCATCATCTCCTTCTGCACCATCTTCTCCTCCCTACATTCCTCTTGCTTCTTTTTCATCTCCTCCTCCCACTCCCTCCTCTTTGCCTCCTTCCTGGCCTCCTTTTCCATCAGCCGTTTCTTCCTTTCAGCGTCCCATCGTAGTCTGTTCTCCCGCACCTCCACCCGTAACCAGCAGCAGTTTGAGTTAACAGTGAACCATCATCGCTCTGGACCACAGCGTCTACACTGACATACCTGTTGGTGCCTTGCTTCCATGGTAACTACTGGGTTTATGAACTTTTTCCTGATTTCTCCATCATTGAGAGAGAGTTCCTTCACCATCCTGGAGTCTAGCAGCTCCTGCTCCGTTAGGTTTTGTAGGAAGCTGTTAACGACAGACTGCTCTTCTTCTTCAGCCAGGCGGGCATACAGATCTGTGGGTGTTTTCCATCAAATGTTAAACGTGCAACACAGCAACTGAAAATAAAACCCCTCAGATTCAGAGTAACAAGCTATTTACCATCAAAACTGCTGTAGTTGTGGGCAAAAGCAGCAGGTTGGGTATTTTCAGCGGTGTTTCTCGGGTCGTCTTCATCGTCCATCTCCAGCTCCAATCGCAATTTAGTCCCCAACCAGTCACCAAGAAGAGCCTGAGCTGCAATAAACATGTAAAAACATGAAATGTTCAGAATTCAGGTCTATAAAGACAAATAATAAATTAGAAAATGTGTAAGTTAATATCCAATAGGCCCAGATATTCTTCACTCATATATACAAAATATTATATTATTAAAATAATATTTTTACATGACTTATGTCATTTTTAACAAAAAATAAGAAAATTAAAATTGATCAAAAATAAAGGTGATTTTCATTTCAATTCAAATAAAAGTCAAAACAAATGTCTGATTTGAACATTTGGGTTCTGTTTGTCTTCTTGCATGAACCTTCGCTGTACGCATCATCGTGATCTGTAAACTGGTCGAGGCTTTGCAAAGGTGCAGCCAGCCTGCTGTTTCCTGAATGCGTTTTTTTGTGGGAGAAGACTTCGGATACAGCAAACTCAGAAGCTTTTAACACTCGCTAAAGAAAGAAAGAGTTGAAAGCAAAAATTAACAAAAATATGAATCCCCAAATTAAAGGAATTTGCACTAATGAATTACTAATTTCAAATAATGAAAATGTTCTCACACCTTTCTCCACTGATCAGTGTCATTATTCTTCTTCACAGATACCTATTTGGAAAAAAAGAGAAAATTAAGTGAATAGCTTGTCTTAAAGGAAGGCAAAAGGCCTGAGCATAAGCACAGGTCTAGTGGTCACTTTAGCTTTTTTGAAAATCCTCAGAAGCTTACCTTGAGTTGCAGAGCAGAGGGAGTGTGAAAATCGAGGCATGAGAGATGATGTATGCAGTTTACAGTATTTCACAGGAAGCGTATAGGTATTGCCTTAAATCCTCAGATTAAACCCCCAAATCATTGCCCAGACATCTTAAAGGAGGTCATTTACCAGCAGCAATGCAATGTGGAGAATTTCTGACAAAAATCTACATTTTTCTATCTTTCTGTTGCAAAAACCACAAGCCCATGTATTCTGAAGTTTCACCCTGTGCATCTCTTTCATTTATAAATACTATTAGATTTTATTTTCAGTTGTATTGCTTCTTTTTAGGGAATCCGGTAATGGTGGCAAAAGGTACTGAAACTTTATCTTTGCATATATTTAGAAAATAAAAACACACACACACATATGCATACTTGTCTCTGTATCCATGTGTGGACCCTCCATTGACATCAGTTCATTTTTGGGACTCCACTATGCCTAATCCATACCCTACCAATGCTGTTTTATTCCTAATCCTAATCTAGACTAAAAGTTAGTTCTCACCATAGCTCTAAAACCATGTTTAAGGGTATTTTGTCATTGTGTGGACTAGCCAAATGCCCCCACGCACGCACGCGCGCGCGCGCGCGCACACACACACACACACACACACACACACACAGTGTTTTAGGCTTACCTTGTCGGACAGGAGCCCTTTCATCCTGAACGGCTGACCTGAGGATGCCATTATCACCACAATAAAAGCCTCTGAATGGCACAAAGTGAGCCTAAATCTTACTTAATTTCCAGACTACATACGCGAAAAAATAATTCACTGTTTTTGATACTACAGAGCAAAACTTGAGCTGAAAGGCTTGCTACCTTCGTGCTTCAAAGTGAAGAAATGTGGGTAATGATGGAAAACAACTGCCTAACCTCCCATAAATTCTGACCCTTTGAGCTACATATCCCAGTAGACTCAAGAGTGTCTTCGGTAACCGTGGCAACAGTGTTTGCCTCTGAAACTTGAGAAAACACATAAAACACCATACAAATGTCGGTAAGATAATACCTTTCAGGTATTTGTTACACGAACTTCTATGAAATAAACTAGAAGGTTGATTTATTTGGAAAATAAAAGCAGACGGGATAATCTTCCCTTTGAAAAATATGTTGGCGGGTTGGCGCCCTCCATTACGTCATATGTCCGCGACTTGTAGTTTCTCCCAAGACATGCGTTTTTAACGGTAAGCCCGATAAATGTGCTCCTGAATTAAGCAAATATAAAATAAAAACGCTAAACAACAAACGCGAATTTCCTTCTAACGACTCAGTGTCAATAAAAAAACTAGTTTGGCAAAAGTGACACTGAGCTAAACAGCTAGGTGGCTAGATCGCTTGTAACTTCTGGCAGCTCGGATATAGTTGTTTGTTTTGGAAATTTTCCTGGAGTTGTTATGGCTGGCAGCAGGATGCAGCTGGAGCTATCTCGGGTGGTTCATGGGACAGCTCGGTTGGGTGTACTGAAGGGTCTCGGGAGCACGGGGCAGCACTCGCTGGATGTTCCGTGCTGCTTGCTGTACACCCACTTTGGCACAGTCCCCCATCTCACCCAGGACACGCTTCACACCATCAGCTCCCTCCCTTTTGTCACCCAGGTCGCTCTGTCACATGTGTAAGTCCACACACACACACACACACACACACACACACACACACACACACACACACACACACACACACACACACACACACACACACACACACACACACACACACACACACAGCTCAATCTTATTTCTAATCTACATCTCTCCAGAGCAGAGCACCAAGATGTGCTGGAAGAGTTTAAAGATGGACTGAAGAAGTTTGCAGGTACAGTTGTGCACATTTCTCATCACTTTTCCCTAGTAAGAAGTATCAGTCTGCATGTGATCAATAAAAACACCAGAAAAGTCTATTGGATCTTTTAAATGATCAAATTACAGTTTTTTTTTTACAGACATTAGGACCCATTTCTCAATACTTAGGTCACATTTGCAAAACTCTACATCCAGTGTGCACAACAGAAGTCTATGTGGGCCAAACTGAGGATCAATTATCATTGCTTTGGCACAAAATGCATTCACTGACTACATCTCTCAAATGTCATGAAGTCCTTTCTCACTCAGACACAACTGCCAAAACTCATTGTACTAACAGGACATTTTGCACTTGCTTACATACTGTTCGCAAAACTGTAAAACTTATGTTCAAAACAATAACATACTGCAAAACTGAATATGACAGCAAAATCCAACAGCAATATGTTATTGAAACATAAATGCAGTTTAACCAGCCACAGCTGGAAGGGTTGTGCTAGGATGAAAGGGATGTGGGCAGACGGAATCAGCCAACATATATAATTGTATGGGACAATGTGGCATTTCACCACTCCCATGCAGTCACAGAGTGGTTTGTGGCCCATCCCAGAATGGAGTCACTTTTCCTCCCACCTTACTCTCCATTCCTCAACCCCTTAGAGGAATTCTTTGCCTCATGGCGGTGGAAGGTGTACGACCATCATCCACATGATCAAATGTCCCTTCTGGATGCAATGGATGCTGGATGCCTGGACATACCAGCAGTAGATTGCCAGGGATGGATCAGGCATGCCAGAAGATTCTTTCCTAGGTGTATTGCCCTAGATGACATAAGATGTGATGTGGATGAGAACCTGTGGCCAAATGGAGAAGACCGAGTAGATTAGCATATTGAATCTGTATCAGAGGATGTTGTGTTAACAAAGTCTTGTGTTTTGGAAGTACTTAGTGCAAAAACAAATACCATTAAAAATAAATGAACAACATGAAATATTGACTAATTCTGCATCATGTCTGATTCATTCCAGTAACATCTATTGGAAGTATGAACAGAGATGTGTCCTTGTTTTACACAAGAAAATGTAATGCTACACGTTGTTAGTGTTGTTTTAGGTCTTTGTTTTGTGGGTGACAAAGTGGGTTTGTCGGCTGTCAACCTTGCTAGTGTTCTGGAGGAATGTGTTTATTTGAGACCTGCATGAAGTGTTTTGGTGGTTGTAGTGCATTTTGAATGTGAAATGAACTGTTTTGCCAAGCTGAAACTTAGTTAGAACTGTGTGAAGTGTCTAGCAAAAGTGACATTAGTAATGAGAAATGGGCCCTAACGTCTGTAAAAAAACTGTTATGGGAGTGTCCTGGCCAGGAGGTTCAAAACATCAACAAATGACTGCAAACATACAGGAGATCTAACATTTACACAACATAATCACCTATAAACTATTAACATCACTAAAACATTACACTCTACTTATTAACCAATTACACAAGTCCGGGATAATATATTAATATGTTGTATCTAAACTGTTTTAACATTTGTTTTAAGGCATCTTAAACCAAAAACAGCAGGAACACATCTTTTCACTTATTCTTATTATAAGGTCCATAATTTGTGACTTATGGTAATGAATCAATAATGTGTAGATTTATATGATTTGTTCAAAATATGGGTCTATCAGGATCAAATGAATAAACTTCTTACAGCACTTCTAAATAAAACGCGTTTGAATCTATTATAGGAATCTAATCTGCTTTTTAAACTTAAACAAAAGTGTTTCTGCTCCCAAGTCCCCGATTTAGCTTTGCTTTTACATGTAGTGCTAAGCTCTACTCAGGGTTTTGCAGTGAAATTTCAAATTGTAAATGCAATAAATGTTGATTAATTTTGTAATGGATTACCAAAGTGTTGTCTCTAAAGCACCAGAAAGGAAGAGCAGTGATTTAAGGGCTGGAAATAATAATTAGGCTCTTTGTTTTCTCACCTTCTGATCTTTCAGCTGCAGCTGGGTTTGCTGATAAAGTTCATGTATCCTCTCTGTAGCATGCAGAAATAGGCATTTAGCTCTGGTAGCGTGCTTGGTGCTCATTTGGTACAGGCGTTGTTCTCAAGGTGTGAATTTTAATTCTCAGGGCTTCGTGATACAGCGTTGTTCTGCTCGCTTCACGACCCCGCAGCTCCGTGCCCGACGGGCTACACCACTAATAAGGTGAGACGAGGTTTCACGCTCTGCTCTGTGCATCATTGACATCTCTTGGGTGTTTGAGCTAAAGCTTGGACCACATCACAGAGGACAGCCAAAATGAAATTAATTAAATTTATATTTGTGTCATTAGACGGTGTCTGTGTGGGGCAGCGGTGGGCGGATCGAAATGTCGGTGGCCAAGTTCATGGCTCTCCAAAAGGTGGTGCAACCAGACTGGTATCAAAGCATGGCGGACAGAGAAACATGGCAGATCAATGCGTCTCGCAAAAGGGTCCGAAAATCTGTGGATCGAACCCTGGCTCACCTGGACGAGTGTCTGCTGCTGCACCAGAAGTCACAGGTACACAAAAACACACACACACTTGTCTCAGTGTGTGAACTCTTAATATTTGGAGTCATTCATGCACAACAAAAGCACATGGATGGATGTTTAGTAGCTGAAAGATCGGAGTGAATGTGTTACCAGAAGCGTGTAACTAAGTAACTGATTTTTTGTCATTTATTTTATTTATGTAAAATTACCAGAACAAATAAAATAACTCATAATATCATTGATCATTTCTCCTGTTGCAGCTGTTACTGGTAAAACGCCCATTTGCAGCCCATCATTTCCACCAACCTTTCTGTGTGTTTTACAGCCATTTTTATGTGATTCTTTGCGTTTTTTGTTATCTTTATCTCACGCCGCAGTGATGTTCTGAATTTTTTTTACTTCCTGACTGCAAACCAAATTTTCCTTGACACAGTAAAGTGAGAAATCATGTAGAGCAAAGAGAAGTGACAGAGTACGGCAGGTAATTCCTTATCAACCTTTTACTCAGTCAGCTGTGTGATTGCTCCCACGTTTCCTCTCCGAACCCCCCGGTGAGTCTGTCTTCCTCCTGCTTGTTGAGTAATCAAAATCCAAATGGAGTCTGACAGAGTTAAACCTTTTATTTATTACATTTTTCCCTCTGCTGTAGACCTTGATGTGCTTCATATTTAGTTGTTAAAATACAGATTTTCTTTATTTTTTTCCCCTTAGTGGCTTCCTACTCAGTCATTTTCAGGTTTTTTTTCCTCTGAGGTATTAATCACCGGGTTTTCTGTCGACCCTTTCCAGGAATTAGACAGAGTCAGCATGTTCGGTGTGGTGGAGGGAGGAGACATCCTGGAGGAGAGGGTGCGCTCAGCTAGGGAGACAGCCAAAAGGCCCGTGGCAGGATTCTGCTTGGACGGCTTCCAGAGTGGTGCTATGGATCCGACCCTGAGGATCCAGCTCATCAGTGCCGTGACCAAGGAGCTGCCCGAGGACAAACCCAGGTCTGCCTGGTTTGTGTGATTCTGTGAGATAAACCAGCTGTTTTTTTTTCCGTCAGTAATCCAACAGACTCCCAATATGTTTTAGTAAGGATCTACAGAAAATAGTCAAATAGAGCTGAGCTCATAAAAAAGGACAAGACAAAAACATTCTGTATCGAATAGAATAAAGTCAGCCTTTAAATGATGACTTTAATATTTGGACTGATGATTGTCTCTCCTCACTGTAAATCATCATTTTTAGTCAAGTTTTACATTAAAGGTGCCCTAGAATTCAAAGCCACTTTTACATTGTTGTTCAGTTTATGCAGCTTGGGGTGTCTAATGTCCCTTACACACTAGCATCGGCTCCACTTCCCCTGGACCGGGTTGGGAGTTTTCTCACTTAGTAGCCTTGAATTTTCCCAAGCGAAACCGGGTGTCTTTTCAGCCTTCTTCTCGAGGAGGTCTGCCTGGAGCCGAACAGGGCCAACACGCCCACTGCTGACTAACTGGCTTGCTCAAAAGCATGCTTACCATTAGGGTTAGCCTCTTATTGGTGGATAGAATCAGGCTGGGGCAGGCAGGGATGAGTGGAGCCGATGCTAGTGTTTAAGTGGCATAATACAGCATACCATAAAGCCTGTATCATCTCTGACCTGCTTTCTTATGAGAATTAGTAACGTAGTAATGTTAGTCTGAGCTACTTCAAACACTAGCTTGAGCTACTGCTAACATCCTTTTTGAACAAGATGAAAACAACAAAGAACGTGGGAGCACCGTTTGCATACCAGGATTCATTTCAATTCAAGTTTATTTATATTGCGCCAAATCACGACAAGAGTCATCTCAAGGCACTTCACGTAATAAACATTCCAATTCAGGTCAGTTCATTAAGCCAATCAGAAATAATGTTTCCTATATAAGGAACCCAGCAAATTTCATCAAGTCACTGACTAGTGTCAGTGACTTTACAGCAATCCTCATACTAAGCAAGCATATAGCGACAGTGGAGAGGAAAACTCCCTTTTAACAGGAAGAAACCTCCAGAGAATCCTGGCTCAGTATAAGCAGCCATCCATCATGACTCACTGGGGATCGAGAAGACAGAGCAGACACACACACACATGCACTGGGAATACTCAGATTTCTTTCTTTGGTTGTCCGCAAACATCAATGTTTAATATGCTACGTAGAGGCTCAAGAAACAGTTTCCAATTGTGGAAAAACTTATTTTTAGGCCACCTTTAAATAATAAAAATATACACTTCTTTTATTGGGCTCTTAAATTGTAAACAGGTCAGTTTTTGTGCAACATTTGCACCTGCTTTCTGCTCTTTTTCAGTATTCAACTCGCTAAGCATATTGTGCTAATGTCACAAATTTCCTTTTGAATTTCAGCAGGTTTGAACGGGTTTGCAGTCTTTTTGTGTCAGACTGTAGAGCATTACACATTCTGTTGCAACACAGCAGAGATAGAAGTGGTAGAGAGAAGGTAAACGATAATTTCTTGCAGTGAGTTCAGGTTCTAATGGATGAGAGGCAGAGAAAAATTACATCTTAATATATCAGAGAAGAATCACGTTCAGGATGGCATGTCGACATTAATAAGTAATTATCTTTTCACCAAATGTATTTAAAAAGAAGAGTCCTTCACGACAAGGTGCGGGTCACCCTCCGCTCTGTTGAAGATCAAAGGTTTGTCATAATCATCCCACAAGAGGAAAATTTCTGGGTTTGATTTGTTCTGTCTGCTGATGAAGTCAAAAAGTTTTATATTTTTATTTTATATTTATAGGTCCAACAAGGCCCAACATTACTCACCTCAAGAAACAATTTGATTCTCCTTTTTTCCTGACACGCCTGCCCCTTTTTGCGTGAAGACAGTCGCTGATATTTTGTTTTCTTTCTTTTCCAAAGACACAAACACAAATCATGTATCTTAGACAGCACAGAAGTGACGTCTTGAGCCAAAGTGAGAACTTACAAAAACATGGGCTGGGTCTTCTTGGAATGCATGCACATTATCTCAGTTAAATGAGAGCAAATGGCACCAACATGGTGTTTCTTTGTGAATTAGACAGTGACCCCAAAACCTAATTTGCACCAACAGAAGACGCACAATCTCGATGTGAAGTTTGGCCTCGGAGGCCTGGAAAAGCATCGCATTGCTTCCTCATTTTTTAAAAGTTAAGGTAAAAATAAAACTTTTAATAAGATTTTGTTGTTTGGAGAGGAGTAAAATGCAATAGTAGACAATATGGACTTTTGGACATTTCCGAGGCACATTATGTGCAGCATGATTTGGAGTAAAAGTTGGGAGACTCGGACGAGTGGGCAGGATTTTTTTTCCTCTTTCTTAAAAACTGAAGAAGTGACATACTCTCTTTCAGAAATGTCTGAATAAGACATTTTCAAACCCAAGAGGGACCCAAAAAAGACATTATTTTGTCTCCTCTGAGTGTTTGAGTTGGTGGCTAAACACACAAATGTGCTAAAGTCAAGAAAATTTGATTTTTGATCCCCCTAAACTCCTTTAAAAGTGACTTTCAGTTCTTATATAACAAAGTTGTCATCCTTTTTTAACCCACACCATGAAGTTATTGTTTATAAAGCACCAGAAGTAGATTTCAGCTCTCTGAAAGTTACCTGGCGGATGCATTGAGGTGCTACGTGCTGTTAGCCTCTTGCCTCGCTCCACAGCCTCTGCTTTAGCTCCAAAAATCCATCACCCCACAAGGTCAGAGAGCTGCCGAGTGCCAATGCAAATACTCGCCCATAAATCAACCATGAGTCCCCCAGATGAACATTGTGATAAATCAGAAACATGCCAACATGAAGATAATTTAAACCATTTTGATATAATATGAATAAAAATGAGATTCCTTTTGGAGATATTGTAGTATCTCTAACTTTTAAACTCACAAGGACAAACATTTATCCTGTCAGAGATCTCCTGTTTGGATGCCGGCTCACGCGAGCTCTCTTCTCTTGGCGCTGTCGGAGGAGTCGAGTGCTACAGCGGAGCTGCAAGGAGCAATAATCTGTTACCAGGAGCTCGCCGCGAGCGCTGCTTAGTTGGCTGATCTTGAACACTGTGGGCCAGTCCTCCCTGCTGCTGCTTCTTGCTGGAGGGAGGTTGCAGCTTCCAGCCAGAGAATGAAGTGGAGTCATTATCAAAAGCTAAATTGGGCTTGACCTCGATGCCTGCAGGCAGAGAGTTTCAGAGATGGCCAGTTAGCAGAAAGCTCAAACACTCAGGAGTGAACACGTTGTGTTGTTAGTGTTGCAGACACGTAGCATTAAAGCTTAATGATCCCTGCTGTTTTTTGGAGGATGCCTGTTGACCCGGTGTGTGTTTGGCTCTCAGGTTGCTGCAGGGCGTGGGACGACCCGATGAGGTGCTGGAGTGCGTGGAGGCCGGCGTGGATCTGTTTGAGGGTTTTTTCCCGTTCCAGGCCACAGAACGAGGCTGCGCTCTCTGTTTCAGCTTCAACGTCTCCCCGGACCCAGAGCGCGCAGGCGGAACGCAGACAGGTGTGGTGAAGAGCTGGTGCTTATCTGACCATTGTTATAGTGAAGATAATAACCCGATTGTATCTCTATTACCACGGGAAAGTGACTTTTAATTTTAAATACAGCCCTTCATTTATTGAGTGATATGATTGTTTTACTTGTTCAAGCATTAATTTAACGTTAAATCTAGTATATTTATGAATCGTGTTTTTTAATTCCTTCTGCTTTACATTTAATTTACATTTATTTCCTTTTTTAAACTGTTTCATCTGCCTAAATTTTCTATTAAAGGGGAAATATTATGACTTTTTTTAAAGTTATAATAGTCGAGTAGTCGATATAAAACCTGTTCATGAAGTTCTTTCCACAAAATCCCTCTCACGTGGTTTCGGCTATTTTATTCTTATAATTTTCAGTACCTTCCAGAATGAGCCAATTCAGGGCTCTGTTACTTTAGGAAAACAAGCTGGCCCACCCCTCCCCTGCTCAGGCTGCTATAAGATGAGAAGCTCGATATCTGGGAGGGGCTCGGAGTAGAGCTACTGCTCCTCCAGCCTGGAGCGGTGAGAAGTGATTCTATTCTCATTTCCCCATTTGTGACATCACAAATCAAAAGGCAGTATTGACCCACATAGTTGCACAACAGGATGAAAAAGGTGAGTTTAGCATAATATCTCCCCTTTAATTCTTCTCACCCTTATAAAGCTGCAGTCTGAAGCTGCCACTCTTTTCTGACACAGATTGTTTTAAATTTCATGACATTTGTAAGCAAATGACCTTTCCAGGTAAAGTTACTTTGCCCAAAGCCTAAAAATGACATTTTTAAATGAAGTAGCAATAAAACAAATGCGCCTCCAGGTTGAAAATGTTGGCATTTAAAAAAAAAAGGCCTGGAGCAAACTTAAATCAGTGTCATTTGGAAAGCTTGCTTATGGGGGTCTTTTCTGGTTCTATAATGATCCCACGATGGGACGTGAACCTCATGGGAGATTTCATTCCACCTGTGTAAAATGTTTTATTTAGCACTTTTTTAGCTCATGAAAGAGATGTGAATGACTGCAAGACTGCAACGTAAAAAATCTGCTGAGATGTAGAGAAGTTTTGCTAGAAAACAGGAGCTTTGATGTTGTTAATTGCACAGAGTTGCGTTTAGCCGATAAAACCAAACTCGTGATTGAATAATGAACCTTGCAGCATTTGGAGATTTTCCGCAGGAGGAGCCTCCAGGGTTCATGCTTCCTGATTATTACACAAATGTTACGAACCGTTCATCTCAAGCTGCAGCTCGAGGATTCACACCACGTTCAATTAGACTGAAGTAATTTGGTGTAAAGACTCTGCTGTGTGCTGTTGTCGCTACACAAATTGACTCATCCTTTAGCTTCACCATCCAGTCCGACAGCGAGAAGAGACAGATTTCTCACAACAATTAGGAAATAAGTGGATGTCATCCTAATGTCGCCATGGACAGATGCCATTAGCACCAAACATGAGTGTAACGACCAATCAGCTTACACTGTGTGTGTGTGTGTGTGTGTGTGTGTGTGTGATAAGTTTGATAATTGGATAAAGAGAAATTCAGCCAGTGATTTAAAATCGATAGCATATCGTTTAGCAGCTTCAGCCAGGTAACAATTAAACGCGACTCCCTCATCACCCTGATAATTGTCCTTGGTGAAGAAACCCGTCCTGCTCGTTGACTTTATGGTTAATTAAAAAGTTGCGCTAAACTCAGCCGTGCTGAAGTTTGACATCTGGGAGCATCTGGTGTCAGAGCTTTCTAATCGATTCTGCACTGGGAGCACTTAATGGAGTTCACTGGAGGTGAGAGCAGTGATGGTGTCAAACCCCAGTGGAAAAGTATAATTCCCCTCTCAGCCAATTACAACCCCCCTCAGGAAGGGTGTCAACACCTTCACTCCCCCAGTTAAAACCCCTCTGACATGCCAGGTATTCATTTACCCTCCACCTCCTTCTTGCCCTCTGCAGGTATTCCTAGTCCATTTTCAAAACTTCCACACTTTTTTCCCCACAGAAGACATGGAGTAATGTATTCGCTAAATATGTAATTAATATTAATATGTAAAAAAATAATAGAGGAGAAAATCTGTGCTTTTAGATGGTGGTAAAATTATAATCACAATTATTTTTGCAAATTGAACAATATCAAAAAACAAAAGCTCATCTTAGAATCTATTGCACATAAATATCATCAATTCATCATGATTAAAACATTTTCTTACCAATGCAGGCTGAAACCATGGAATCAATTGTGATTTATTTGGCTAATTAGGAAACGATAAAGCAGTTTTAAAGTGTATTTTAAAGACCAAGTTCACTGAGAAACACTTTTTAACACTCCCACTGTCCTAATGGGTGTGACCCTGCGAGGAAAGTTGACCATTGAGCAGGGTTGATGGTTTATCCCTTGGGTCCATGTGGCAGGGGTGAGGAGTGAGCACCACCTCACCCCTGCCACGTGGACCTCAAGGGATAAACCATCAGTCCTGCTCAATGGTCAACTTTCCTCGCGGGGTCACCCATAAAGACAGTGGGAGGGTTAAACTATTGTCAGTCACTTTAAGCTTCACATGCAGGCTAAAGGTGAAAATAGTCTTCTAGCCGTATTTCCTGCATTAGCCACTGATAGAAAATAGACGGGGAAACGCTCGAGTTGGAGAAGTCAATTACACATCACATAAAAAAATTAGCATTCATGGATTCACCCATCTTGGCTCTCAACGTGGAAGGCTGCTGTTGATTTATTGTCCAGGAGAGAGCAGTGCACGTCTTGACTAGTAGAAGCTAACCATTAGCATTAGCAACTCCACCACACAGCAGAATGCCGAGATAAATCATCAATGTTGCAGTGCAAACGGAGTCAGTCGTAGAGTCACGTTGCTTTTCGCCAATCAGAGGCAAGCTATCATGAATATTAATGAGTAAGACCATAATTCCTGCTGTTTTCTGCCCCCCACTCCTTCAACTAACATCCAATTCCTGAAACAGGGGCGCCAGAGCTTTTTCCCTCACAAACATCGACTCTCAAGGCATTTGTTTTTCTTTAGACCACTGCAAATAGGGAGCCTAAGTCACATCATGGGTCCCCGGAAAAACGAAAAAATGAATGCAAGTCAACGGGGCTAAAAACACAGTTTTCTAATCCGCTTTGCCTTACGTCCTGCATCGCACATATGGTGTACTGCAATTTAAAACAGCAAAACTATTGAAGGGTGTTTCGACCATGCCAGTCACGTAATTTGAGATCTATTAGCTTGTAAAAGTCTGTAATTAGCATGACTACAAACCCGTAATCGGCATTTCACATACCGTAAATCCTCTAATACAGGCCCGGGCCTTTATTTGACTCAAGCTCATCAAGCTCCAGGCCTTTATTGGAAGGAGGGCCAGTATTAGAGGCAGGCCTCTATTTCTAATTGAGCAAAATGAACTAATGGTTCGCTGGAGTTTTTGACAATTAAAATTGCGCCCACATTTTCAAAGTTAAACACATTTCTTTTAACAACGGTAGTTTCTGCTTCAGCCATCTCCCCCCTCCCCCTGCTTCAGCCCTCTCCCCCCTCCCCCTGCGCAGCGGCAGCAAACTCACTGATGCGCCTGCAGCCTCTCAGAGTTCCTGCTGCTCTAAACATTAAAATAATTATTTCATTTTCTGTTCCACTTCTGATTACCTTCAATGGTGTCTGTTTGTTGCAACCACCAGGTACAAAAACTAACTTGTTTTTATTTGACTATTTTTCTGTCCTACCTGTTTATTATCTTCCTGCATCTCCTCTCAATCCTAAAGAAAAACTGCTACCTGGGTTCATATATATTCACCTCATGAGTTACCTTTGAACTGCAGTTCTAAAAGATCTACCGACCGCAAAAACAGCGGAGCGCTCGCTGTTTGGCGGCCGTATCAGTGATCAGTGCGTCGGAGGACAAGGTGATGCGCGCAGCGCCCCGCTCCACAGCAGCGAAACGCATCAGGAGCTTGTCACCTGCTGATAGCAGGCTGCTGTCTTTTCCGAGGGCTGCATCTTGCCGGTCATTATCACGTGACAGCGACTAGTCGATGACAGGCGTAAAAAGTCACAGTAATCCCTCGTTTATCGCGGTAGATGCGTTCCAGACCTGGCCGCGATAGGTGAAAATCCGCGAAGTAGGGACTCCCAGCATGCCCCTCGCGGGGATTCCCTGCACGTTGCACCTACGTCACAAACCGCGGCTATAAACGGATGTCCAGCTCACCACTCAGTCATCGTTTCTTCAGATTCATGATCAGAGTTTCCAACCTACCGATCAATCCAACGAACTATCAGCTCATAGTAAGTTCTATTTCGTCTAGTCTTAGCCCTTAAGCTAGCTGCTATTGGAAGGATGATCTCCGCATCAGCCAATCATGAAGAGCTTAAATGTATGCCCACCAATAGTGGGCCCCCTCGTGGTATATAACCGCAGTGACCCCACTGCTCACCTCCTTTTTCTCTTCATGCCAAGCTTGAGAGCTTTATTAAAGAGCAAATATTATCTCAAAAGAGCAAATTATCCGAAGACGACTTACCAGCCATGTCCAGCGACACCAGACCCTGCCCGACCTGCCAGACGGGCTCCATTTCCAGCGGCGACCTGCACGCTAAGTGTGAGGTCTGTCTCGGGGCTCACCACGCTGGCCTGGCCTTGACCCCGCAGGCCTCGTGCCCGTTCTGTGCCGCTCTGCCCGTGGCGGAGAAGATTCGCCGGGTCGAGTACTTCACTCCCGCCGCCGACGAAGAATTTCCGGTGGCTGACTCCTACCCGCTGGACAAGGCTTTGGTTTTCTTCGACGCCGGTCAGGAGCCGGCTGGCTTCAACCGGCTGGATGACGTCACTGACAGCGAAAACTACGATGAGGCGGCGTCCCTCCTAGACATAACGGAGGTCGACGAGCTTCGCTCAGCGGGTCCTTCTGCCCCAGTGGCTTCTCGCTCCTCCCTGCCAGCAGTAAGAGCACTGCTCCAGGAGCTGCCCGCCATCAT